TTGTTGGAAATCAAAGGACGCGCTTGCGTACTTGTTCGCACTGACGCACGCACAGTAGAGAGCAGCGGACGAGCTCAAGTGGCGTCGCCACAACAGTAATACCCTCGCCTCGCATTCTCATGGCCTCGCCATATCTCTGAGATTTCGAAATTTCGGCGAGAATGGAAGCCACAAAGGGTGTATGAGCCGGATCACTTAACTTGATTTGCAGGCCCGAGCCCGAAGCAAACCCGAGATTTCATATTTTATTTGTGAGGACTCGGGAGGAGGAGGGATGATTTCTGATAACAAAGCCTGTCTTTTGGAACGAAATCTAAGTTAAACAAGACTGGATAAACATTTACATCTTTTATATTTCTGTTCCTTAAGAGGTTACATAAGCGGACAATTTTCCATCATTGACGGATTTTTTTTAAGAGTGGACGGGGAAAATTTAAGGCCGTCCGCCATTTTGACGGGTTAAAAATTGAGCCATTCACTACAGCAGCAGTACGTCCTTAAGAATCGAGTACGGCACTTGAAGAGAGAGAAGCAGCGAGACCAAAAAAATCAATGACGGCTGGATCATAAAGATAGGAAGGAGTTTTTTGAATTGTCATTGCGAGAGTTTAGGACAGTACGTGTTGTGATGACGCCGCTTCTGTTTTTTGCGAAACACGGTCTCTCGTGGCCAAAACTATTCGCGGCCTCGAAAAAAAAAAAAAAAAGTAAGCGAGAGAGAAGCCCGACCGGAACCCGAAGCAATGATTGACATTTTTAGGCCCGACATATATATATATATATATATATACATACACACACACACACACACACACACACAGTATGTATAATTTTTTATTTTTTCCGGAATTTTCAGGAAAGTCCACTTTCATCTCTGAAAAAAATGCCGACCGTAAAGTTTTTTTTCGAGGTAGAAATTCTCGGTCGGTCGCGTTACCGGAAACACATGCGTCCACACAGTTTAAAGCACAGTGAAGCTGCGGGAATGAATGAGAAGAGAGTAGTGTCGTAACTAGTAATAAAAAGCTTATTCGGAACAGAGGTTGAGCACTTTGTAGCGCATATTTAGTCAATGACATGTCCACACAATTGTACGTACACACATACATTTGATCACTTACTTTTTGACATTTTAGGGGAAGCTGAGCTTCCCTTGCAGTCTTAGAGCAATCGCCTCTGCATTGTATACATAGTTCAGTATTGTATAATAACTGTAAAAAGTAAAGCTGACTATCAAGTACCAAGTACAACTTTATTGTCAAATGTGCTGTATGTGAAAGCACAGTTGAAATTTCGTCCCTCTCACATTTTTTTTGCTTTTCTTAATAAATCCTACTTCACGGATTTCACTTATCACTGGTTCTTTTTGGAACGTAACCCCGGTGGGGTTACGTTAAACGAGGGATTACTGTAATGTGTTATTCACTTGACACATAAATCGTTATTGATATCAATACAATAAAAGCCCCCCCCCCCCTCCGACGCCACTTCACCCACACACACCTGCTTGAAACCGACTTTATAGCAGTGATAGGCTTTTGCAGGTTAGATTCCTGTCAATCGAACAAAATCACACAATTTTTACTTCATATATGTTTAGTAAATGAGTGATTAAAAAAACTTTACACAAAAATATTGCATGTTTTCTTGAGATCCGTACCTCAAGTGGAGCGGGCACAAGCAGCTCGGTGGGTGGGCACATCCCCATTAGGCCCGCCCCCCTATGGCCTGCCCATGGCGGGCGGTGTGAATGTGGTCAATGACATTGTTACAGGTTAGGACATTGTTATAGTTGAGAAAATAGCTCAGAGATCAAATTTGCTTCAAAGGGCTCAACATTCGTATTTTAAAAAAGGAATGAAATGATTACTTGCAAACAGAAACCTTTGCTGTGATGTCTCAGAGTGTAACTTGGTGGAAGGAGAGGACCATGTGGAGGTGAATGGAGAAATCTTCCAGAAGCCGTTCGTTGAGAAGCCAGTGTGTGCTGAGGACCACAATGTCTACATCTACTACCCTACTTCTGCTGGTGGTGGCAGCCAACGTCTCTTCAGAAAGGTCTTGTCTCCTAACCATAATGTGTTGTCATATTTTCTTCTGGTGGTCTTTCATAATCTTTTGTTTGCAAGATAATTTGGTTTGGAAATAAGCAAGAAGCCCATTTTTTCAAGATACTGTATTTTCAATTGTCTGAAATAGCTGAATTTGTACGGTCCATTTTGTTCTAAAGTAAACGTTTTTAGGATTTAAATAAGTTTTGCTCCTTAGATAGGTGGATTAAAAAAAAAAACGCACAAAAGTTTATTTCCCACCTCCATGGGAACTGCCGGTTATCTTGCCAACCACCAAGAGGGCACTCTGAGGGCGACTGACAACTAAAGCGCCAACTGAGCCATTCCCCAGGTGGTTCTCAAGATTTATTTGTTGTAATGAGGCAAAATGCTTTCATGATTTTTTTTAATGGTCCTCTTACCCAACAACGAACAAGAAAAACATGAGAAATGTTTTCAAGAAAAAATAATCAGTAATAATGAACTTATTGATAAAGAAGGTGGATAAGGAGGACATGCACCTGATCACAATGATGACATTAAGGCAGAGAAGAATGTTTCAGATGTGGCAAACAGACACACAAGAAAAAAAAAAAAAAAGCAAATGTCATCGAACTTCCACCGTTGCCTTTACCAGAATTAAAGAGTTGGTTAGAGCTGTGCTGCGTGCTCATGAGCAGCTTTAAAAGATATACATGCTTTGGCAAAGCAACAGCAAGAGCCCAAGAGTAAAAGTGCAGAAATGGAGCTGGAAGCTCTGCTGTCCATTTCCACTGCCAAAATAGTATATGAAGAACAAAACATTCCAAAAGTGTCATCAAGCCAAAGAAGGGATGAATCAACTGCAAGCAATCCAAACCTTATGGCAAATGAGTTTAATTCAGCACATAAAAACAAACAAAAGTTACTGGTCACTGCCTGCACCTAATCCTGCAACAACAGGTCCATCGCCACTTGAGGTTTTTAAACAACAAGCCATCAAACGATGGAACTCGTTGGATTCCCAAATGCCAGGTTGTTCCCACAGCTTGAAGGTGGAGCCACAGGTACAACAACCTTCAACAACTTCTGCGCTTCCTGCTCAGTTGACTGAAGGAAGACAACTTTCTCGGATCTATCTACAAATGAATATCAAACCTCTCTACTAAGTGCCTAACTTGTAAACACAAACAAACCATCTGGGAGATATTTGCACAATAATGCAAAGAAAAAAAAAATCTTACATTTACACTTGTCCAACATTGCCTTATGGCACAGGTGTCAAACTCAAGGCCCAGGGGCCAGATCCGGCCCACCAGGTCATTTTATGTGGCCCGCGAAAGCAATTCATGTGTGTCAACTTGCTAAAATCTGTACCAAAATGTCAAATTGTAATGTGTAATAAATAACGTTGAGATTTTGCAATGATTTTGTTACCTTACCCCATTTCCTCTCACTTGAACAATAATTGAACAAACTATTACACTTGACTTGACTGATTTTTAAAACGGGTAATATATCAATTTGTTGTGCACAAGTAATAATTTTGTGATTTCATTGTCGTAACAGCCCTCCGAGGGAAGACGTAACTCCAAATTGGCCCGCGACTAAAATGAGTTTGACACCCCTGCCTTATGGCATTGCTAATAAGAGATTCCTAAATTTGATTGAAATCCTGTCCAATATGACTTTTTCTCTTTAAAAAACAAAACGTGAGCAATGTGTGGAAAGCACCGTCAACTGCGGTGACTACTTGTACTATCTGGAACAATTTAGCAGAGGGCAGCCGAGGGAGGTCGTGTCTGTTCACCAACCTTTTTCCAGACTGTCGGATGATCCTAAATGACCTCGGGCTGTTCACGCACCCTTGTCCTCCTTTTGAAACAAAAACCACCAGGACTGTTTGAACCACATGACGTGTACATAAAGCAACGATGGAAGCAAGTACAATGTAAAGCCGATCTCTTCTTCTCTGGAAACGCTGGGGACGGGATTACCTACCCTTAACTGTAGGAAAGGCAAAACTGGAACCAAGCAAAGGAAAATATACAATCTGGTGATGTTGACATTATAATAGATCCAGCTGCCCCATGAGGCCCTTGGTTACTCGCAAGATAAAAGAGGATGTTTGGGGTCAATGCATCTGCTGACAAAGTCCAGTATTGTTGAGAAGCCTGTAACTAAACCTGATGTAGTTCCGGTGGAATATACGGAGGCGTACAAGCTTCCAGCTTCTGTTCATTCCATGTGACTGGGCCACCAGCTTAAAGAACAATAACCTCATTTTTCAAAATTGTGTTAATGTGTTTTTTTTCTAGGTGTATTCTATAGCTCAGAGCTGGTGCTCTTCAAGGCGGAAATGTGCTGCAAAGTTGCCCACAGGGTCAGCGTCGTGGTATTAAAATATTTTTGAAATGATAATGATTATAATTTGTTCAATGATTTGATTTCGACAATGCTTCAGAGGGATTTTCCCGCTGTTGTCATGTTTATAAATGAAATACGATGACGTCTACCACAAACGTTCACAGAGTGCCACATCCGTCTGCCTGTGGCTTGATCGAATACACCAAAATCATGTTAGACCACCTGTGCTACCATTTAGATATGCTTTTAGGTGGTTTAAAATTTTAGTCTACTTTTTCCCCCACCAAATTTTCATTGGGTAATTTTCATTACATTTTTATATATTCCATTCTTCTAATTCAAGTTGTTTCTGTGACCACTGTGTGGTTTTCTTTCATCAGCAGAGGGTACCAACGATTTTGTCCGCATGGGTATTTCACTGGAATAGTGCCAATAGGAAAAGGGCATATGCCCGCAACGCTCGTTACTTGGTAATTTGATCAATAAGTCGAAAACAGCCTGTGTCTTGCTGAAGCAAGAAGAGTGAAAGAACACATTTCCTTTCATTTTCTTGCTCATCTTGCAATGAAGAAATGTCAAGTTACATAGCGTTCTTATTTTCTTCAGCGGCTGCTGTTTATGCACTTGAAGTTTCACTTCTGCATCTCGAACAGTGTCCAGTACCTTCTTAATGTCATCAAAAAAACCCCCCCCCCCCCCCCAGCCTGCAGCCTGGCAGATCTGTAAATTTACCAGCTCTCCCTCCCCAGTCCCACCCCTGCAAAGTTAACCTTTCACTATGATGATAGTTGTTTGGACTCGGTCCTTTTGATCCAATTTCACCCATGTGTGTTACCATCCAGAGATATCAGCACTGGTGCTATATTTGCTCAATGTTTTGCAAGATTGGATGTAACACTGAGAACATACTCTACTTTGTATTTGAGTAATACGGGAGAAATCCATTTTTGCGACCCCACTTGTCTGGAAATGCATAATCTTGTCTGATGTAGGGAGTTAAGCAGGCTCAGGTCTATGTATATTGCCAGTTACATAGCCTATAGCGGGGCAAGCCAGCCCAATTTAGTGCTGGTCTTCAGGCTGGTTTAATAGATAAAATTGGAGACGGGGGGGCGTCTGTTCATTAAAAAAAATAAAAAAACTTTATCCAAAAACATCCACCAGTAATAGAGCAAAAAAAAATTGACGTCAAATTCACCACTATACTGTATTGCTCTTCTTCATTGTGTACTACAGGTGGATGGAGTGCACTCTAAAGATCACGTAACACAGTACCGCTGTACACAGAACTTTTCCCCGCAGTTTTTGGAATCTAACCACTGCGAAAGATGGGTTATTACTGTAATAGCAACTGTTATATTTGAACATTATTCTGCGCACACAGTGATGAAAACAAGTCGAATAGTATGTTTATAAACAGGGGAACTCATAAGCGGTGCGCATGTGCACTGGGGATTGAATGTTATGTTCCAGTTCAAGTCTGTCACCACGCTTTTGCGCACTAAAGAATCGGTCAGGCCACCCTCAGTTCGAAGTCAAGTCAACCACTGTGATTGCTTCTGATGGCCAACTTCAAAATAAAAGCGCCGACATTGATATTTAGGTACAGATTTACTTGCATACTTTTATTTTGAAGTTGACCTTCGATGGTTATCTCAATGTCTCTGCACGCAGTTTCCAAAACTTTCTGTCCAAACATTTTTCACAGAGAAGTGCATATTAACATGGAAAACAAAAAATATCACATGCAGTAAAAATGAAAATAAGATTTAATCATCCCTACAGTACAGCTCAATCTTACAAGCCATAACACAAATTACTAAGACCCCTGGAACAATATATTATGTTTCTTTAGCATATTTGTTCATTCATTTTCCGAACCGCTTTATCCTCACGAGGGTCGCGGGGGGTGCTGGAGCCTACCCCAGCTGTCTTCGGGCAGTAGGAGGGGGACACCCTGAATCGGTTGCCAGCCAATCGCAGGGCACACTGAGATGAACAACCATCCACCCCCACGCTCACACCTAGGGACAACTTAAAAGTGTTCAATCAGCCTGCCATGCATGTTTTTGGAAGGTGGGAGGAAACCGAAGTACCCGGAGAAAACCCACGCAGGCCCGGGGAGAACGTGCAAACTCCACACAGGGAGGCCAGAGCTGGAATTGAACCCGGTATCTCTGCACTGTGAAGTCGACGTGCTAACCACTGGACTACCGGGCCGCCCATATTTGTTAAAAATACTTTAGATAAAATTGGTTTATCTTAGTAGCACTTTTTAAGTCATCATGTAGCCTGCTAGTCGGTGGAGGCTACTGTGTGTGACTGGATCTGAATGTGAGTGACGGGGGTAATATGAGGGGCTGCATCTGCTTGCTCATTGAAGAAAGAAAACCGCAGTGTGACAGAAGAGTCACTGTACATGCTAGTAGTTTTTAACAAAGGCAACGTCGCTGGGGATCGGCGAATTCTCCAGATCAGTTCAGAACAATGGAATGAAAAACTTGGAAAATGCTACAGTGAGTCAAGTGTACACTACAAGATCGCTGATTCGTTGACTACACTGTCAATCAAGGATGGATTCCAGCCTCAGAAAGATCATCCAACCATCATGCAGAAGCCGAGTATCCGAGCCAGCCCACTATTACATACACCCCCAAGAGATGCTGAGCATTCGATGAACGGGATAAAGCTCAACGTCCAGTTTTACGCATTGGAAGAACCCACTCTCAGTTTCCTCATCAAGCCAGTTGATGCTGGGCATCCGAGCATCGTGGAGCGAATGAGAAAGATGTTGTGTCAGTTACCTGTGATAAGTAACTGATTCTGAACAAAAGAGGAAGGTATTCTAGCACATTTTTAGTCAATGAAATGTACACATGGTACATGTTTCACTCTTTTATGGGAGGGAGTGGAGCAGGAGCATTTTAGGGGAAGCTGTGCTTCCCTGGTACTTTTAAAGCAATTGCCACTGGTACACATATTTACAATAAACCTTGCTCAGATGTGCCACAAGTATTTAAGTTCATCCATGAAATCGGTGGGTTGGGGAAAAAAATCAGCACCAAACAAAAAAAAACCTTTGTTTCTCATTTGAGAACAACGCCAACATTTTTTAGGCACATGGTGTTGCAATGGAGATTAGGACCAAAGCTTTTTGCAGATCGGTGTCTGTTAAAGTGTCACTATGTTTACAACGACATTTCGCTCATTGTTAACAATGATAGAATGTGCATAAATATTAACACTGTTTAACATCAACTCTTTGACTTCTCCAGATTGGGAGCAGAAGCAGTGTGTACTCACCAGAAAGCAACGTGAGGAAGACTGGATCTTACATCTATGAAGAGTTCATGCCAACAGATGGCACAGATGTGAAGGTAATTTTTTTTTTTCTTGACAGTACATCGAAAAGGTCTGGACAAGACAAATATGATGCAAGTGATTTAAGACCCAAGTGATTTGAATACGCCAGTGGAGTTAGCTGTTTTCCTCCACGGTGCAATAGAAATTTGTGAATTTATCATGAAACAAATCAGAGACTTGGACGGTTGTAAAGCCATCAGGCACCGCCAAAGTTTGGCAAAATAACATTTGCGCATTTTGTTGAGGTCACATGCAGTTGTGGTCTCTGAAGCATCTGAACAAGCTTAAACTAGTACAGTGAAACTTCAGTTCATGAATCGCCATGCTCACACACACACACACACACACACACACACACACACAAAAATCTATTTATGAACAAAATTTCAATGACATTTTGCTTCACTTCATGAAGTCAGCCTTCCGTGAACAATGACAGCATCGACACGGAATGATGAATTGTGCTTTCTCTCAGTCATCTGGGTACCTAAGAACAAAAAGGCAATAATTTAAATTCCCAACAATTGTTTTTCTTTTTTCTTTTTTTTTTTTAAATAATCCCATAAAATAATTTAAACAAACGTGTTTGCTGCTGGAGTATGTTTACTTTAATGGCTAAAGTCATAGAGCCCTTGTGACCACGTCGAAATGTTCTTGAGCAAGATACTGATCCCCAGTTGCTCCTGATGCTGCATCATCACTACGTGAATGAGGCGGCTGTGTTAATTACTTTGAGCACCCCAAAGGGAGAAAAGCACTCTACAAGTGGAATCCCATTTACCCAAGCCCATTTATTTTAAGAAGAAAAATTGCTTCAGGTTGCTTGGATCCACTGTATTTTCCATGATTGTCATGGACATTGGATCAGTGTTTCAAGAACAAACACGCAATAGAGAATAGTTAACAAGGCTGGAGATATGTGGTTTCACATCACGATTGCCGATTAAAATTCTCATTTTTTGCCTCAGTCAAACAGACTGAAAAGTAAAATTGGGTGTGTATTTGGCAGAACGCAGCGCTGGCAAATGTGACGGAAATCACCAAACACTAATCTGTTAGGCTTGAAACGTGACGTGATTGTTCAGAATATCTTTAACCCTTTCAGGGACAACGATTACAACAGTGGACAGCTTATCATGTTATCAGGTTACAGGCTAACATTATTGGTGCATGTAAGGGTTAATAATCATTAGACTGGCTGCGGCCACAGAGGGCATTACTTGTTCCCTCCACGCGGGACTCAAGAGGCCAGCAACATGGCAGCCCTGATGGGTCTCTCCTAACCGCCTGGGGAGCCTCACTCGTGTGTGAGCCTGTCTTAGCGCCGAACTGAGCCATATTAACATGTTGTATGTTATGAAGTTTATGTTATCAATGTGTTGGGCAATTCACGTTGGTTCTTCATCAAAGCACTGCTGATTAGCGGTTGTGTTCTGTCAGCAGACGCACAGCACTCATCTTGCGGGTCACGTCCACGTTTTAATGTAATGGAGCAGAATTGGTATTGGCATACCTGAAAAATGTGGAACATTTTCGATGGTCAATTACAATGTGTGACAAGTTTGTCGATTTTTGTACAAATAAGATCTCTTTATTCTTGCATTGAAACAGTAATTTACTGTACTAATTACAACAGCTTCATTGTCCTCGTCGTGAGTACACAGTTACATTGATTGTACCATATTTTTGTTTTTGTTGATATTGCTCTCAAAACATTGTACATTTTTAAATGCATTTGTATCATTTTGTTTTTAAAGTTTGTTTAAAGACCTTTAAAAAAAGTTAAGTGGCGTAAATGTTATAATGTGCCCAGGGTGTATTTATATATTGCGGATTTCATTCATTACGGCAGGGAAAAATTGCTTCAGGCCGCTAGGATTCACAGTATTTTCCATGAGTGTCATGGACATTAAATTAGTGTTTTAAGTGGGATGATGATGTCAGTGATTTGTGCTCTCCTCCAGGTCTATACTGTGGGACCTGACTATGCTCATGCTGAAGCTCGAAAGTCTCCTGCTCTGGATGGGAAGGTAGAGCGAGACAGCGAGGGCAAGGAGGTCCGTTACCCTGTCATGCTGTCAGCTATGGAGAAACTGGTTGCCCGGAAGGTGTGTTTAGCGTTCAAGGTAAGCAAAGCCTCTGCTGTTGTATTCTGTTGAACACTTTTATTGTACCTAATCTTAATCATTAAAAATGCCACTGCTTTCCTCTTTGATTATTCATCTGCAGCAAACTGTTTGTGGATTTGACCTTCTTCGAGCCAATGGGCACTCTTATGTATGTGATGTCAACGGATTCAGTTTTGTGAAGAACTCTATGAAATACTATGACGACTGCGCTAAGATCCTTGGGTAACAGTTTCACTCATTTGGCTTGAATTAGTTGAGCGCGTTTTGGATTCCTTGATGGCTGGACCATTTTGTCCTTTGCTTATCCTTTTTCTTTGCTTTGTTTGTTTGTTTGCTTTTTTAGGAATATTGTGATGCGTGAGCTAGCACCTCAGTTTCAGATTCCATGGTCCATCCCTACTGAAGCGGAGGACATTCCCATTGTTCCCACTACTTCAGGCACTATGTGAGTAGTGGAAGTACTAGTTACTAGTGTTTAAATGTTAACATTGCAGGTGTAATCAATGTAATTCCTCTGTTTAAATCCATTGGATGTTACTTTTTACCTTGATGAGGACATTATCTGTGTCATGGTCTCGAAAGCTGCAATAGTATTCTGTACTCTCACAAAAGGGATGTGGTACTACAGAGTTTGTCATGAATTAGTGTATAATGTTATTGAAAGGTACATACATGTTAGACACTGCTAATAATAATGACAACATTAAAAACACTTCCCTGTTAATTCCCACACTGTGCTTTTCTTTTGAGGAGGCAGTATCCAGCAACATTTTTTTTTCATGAATATGATATTGCGTATGTAATAGTGAACTTAAACTTTGACCCTCAAGGATGGAATTGCGCTGTGTGATAGCTGTCATCCGACATGGAGACAGAACACCAAAGCAGAAGATGAAGATGGAAGTTCGCAACCCCATGTAAGTTGATACCCTTATGACAGCAGTAACCACATTTTTCATCCATTTGAACAAATAAAGTCTGCTTTTGTTATCTGTATAGGTTTTTTGACCTATTTGAAAAATATGGAGGGTATAAAACTGGGAAATTAAAACTGAAGAAACCAAAACAACTGCAGGTACCAGGTCACTTAATTGCATGGTTATGTTGGTTCAAATCACCCTGACATATCTGCAAGTGGTGTGTGTGTGAGTTGATTTAAATTGATGTTGCTTGGTTTTTGAACGACGGCAGGAGGTGCTGGACATTACTCGACAGTTGTTAGCAGAACTGGGCCAGCACAATGACTGTGAGATAGAAGAGAAGAAGTCCAAACTTGAGCAGCTGAAAACTGTTCTAGAAATGTAAGTGCTGGGTCACTTTCCTTGCTTAGTTCATCTTCATGTATTTTTTAAAATGTATTTTTATTTTGGGAGCCAAACCCCATTTTTTAGTGGAAAACTCTTATTGCCGGCATATCCACGCTTATTCAAGAATTGTCATAATGCACCCCCCCCCCCCATTGGATTTTTTTTTCCTGATGCTATACTTACTGTTCAAAGTGGGGGAGCCTCTGGAAGCAGCAGTGTATTGATGGCTGAAAATGTAAAATGTATTATAACAGTTACAGCAGGTTCTTGAAATGATTGAAAATGTGTGATTTATTGAATCACTCAAGCATTTATTTCAGGTTTTACTGCATTTTGCTAGCTTAGCAATTAGCATGGCTCCCTGCCTTTCTCCCAGTCTTCCTTTCGTCATAGCGCTACTTAGAGAAGAGTAACTTTTTCGCTGCCGTGGAGGCGAAGATTATCGCCTATGCTATCCAAAAACTTGCATTCTGAACAGGGGTGTGTCGACTTGCATTTGCAAGAATAACTTTGCAAGTAGTACTTGGTAGTAATCATATTTTTCTACCACTAAAGGTATGGACACTTCTCTGGGATCAACAGAAAAGTGCAGCTGACCTACTTGCCCTACGGGCAGCCCAAAACCTCGAGTGAAGAAGAAGGCATGTTCTAAACATATATGAGCAAGTTAAACTTAAAAACATGCTGGCAAAAATGTTGATTTATTTTTAGCTGTTATTTTGTGACAGACACACGAAAGGAGGGTCCATCTCTGCTGCTCGTGCTGAAGTGGGGAGGAGAGCTTACGCCTGCTGGAAGGGTGCAGGCTGAAGAGCTTGGAAGGGCCTTTCGCTGTATGTACCCTGGAGGACAAGGTGAGATGCAAAGCAGTTTATTCCTGTTATTAATTGAAAACTGGAAATTAACTGTGTATGAAGACAGACTACAAATTGCTGTTCTTTTGTTTGGTTTTGAACTAAATCAAGTAGCTCCCAAGAAAAAGAGTCTGATGGCTCATAATGTCGTCAAGAAAATTGTGCTTTTCCAAACAACAAAGATTATAGAAATATACAGGTGTAAAAAAATGTATCTGTTAATCGTCAACTATTTTCAAAATAGTTCAAACGCCGGTCCTCGAGGGGCACACTGTATTTGAATCAAGTGTGTTGTACGAAGGAGAGATGGAAAACATGCAGGACAGGTGCCCTCGAGGATCAGACTTGGTGACCCCTGGCCATTGTTTAACTTAAAATTGTCCAAATCCTCTGATTCTGCAGTCGTTCATAAAAGCAGACCTCTTTTGCGTTTAATCCAAATAAGACATCTGCAAACATTATTGGAAATAAAAATTGAGTAAACCAGTAACTGAATCAGTTTCAAACAAGTTGGTGATAGTAGTGTGATATTACTTAATGTTGTTTCGTTGTTTTTCCATCACAAAACAATACCAAATAAACAATAATTGCTTCATAGACATTGCTTCAGTTGTAATACAAAATAAAATTGTAAATAGATTATGCAATGATATAATTGATCGAATAATCCAACAAAAATATGTTAACAGGGTTCCCACAGGTTCTTAAAGTTCATAAAAATCCATAAAAAAATATTTTATTCAAAAATGAATTGAAGTTTTATATTTTCTAAATTAAAATTTTTCTTTGTGTACTTTGAGAATGAATTTGTTTTTTTTTTTCATTTTCCTACCTGTAATACAGGTAGGAAAATGAACATTTGACATACAGTGTGTCAAATAAAGGGTTAGCTGATTGCCCCTAAAAATAAAGATGTGCCCTTCCTTTGGCAGCAATGATTTGAACACCAACTCAGTGATATGTGGCTTTCTGTTCAGCCCGCATATTGCTGAGCGGGCATTAATTCCACCGTGAAATCCCAGCCGAATGGAGAAAAGGTCCTTAAAATGGCAAAATTAGTCCTCAAAAGTCCTTAAAAGGTTCATACATAAAAAGCAAGTGGAAGAGTGGGAACCCTGGTTAATTCAGAGTGCAGCCCCAAGTGCCGCATTCCATCAGCAGTTGGTAAATAGGAAACAACTGTTATTTATATCAGCGCTTGGCTTAATGCCAAAACTGATTCAGGTCCAATGTTTTTGTAGGAGACTATGCTGGATTTCCCGGCTGTGGGTTGCTACGGTTACATAGCACCTACAGACATGACCTGAAGATATACGCATCTGATGAAGGCAGAGTGCAGATGACTGCTGCAGCTTTTGCAAAGGTACAATCGTGATGTGTTTTGTAGTACAGTATTCCTTTTATTAGATCTGGGGCGATATGGCTGAAAAATGTATCACGATATAAGTATCTCACATCAGTTGATGTTACATCCACGCTCCCCGAGCAGTGCTGTAAATATGTATTTGCAGATACCGTGGTACCTCTACTTACGAAAATAATTGGTTCTGGAAGAAATTTCTTAACTTAAAAAATTTGTTCGTAGAGACACATTTTCGATATAAATGCCCTAATCGGTTCCAAGCCCCGCAAAATTCTGACATAAATTTTTATGAAGCATAAAAATGCATCAAAATATGTAACAAATACGTGTTACAATTAGATTATTGAACAATCAATGAGAATTGAGCATAATGTAAAAAACAAAGAATAGAGTAACTGCGTCCTCATCGTTTTTTGCCCTCTTTAATTCATGTAGAGCTCAAAAGTGGTTTTTGCCTGGCGTTTTGGAAAGAACTGACCCAAACACGTTTGCTTTTGTCGGCTCTTAACAATCCTTCAAAAATGTCCAAGGCAAACATCAGCATAGTGAGCGATTGCCCGACTGGTGAACACGCTTTCTGGGTGATTCATATTACATCCAAGGCAAACATCAGCATAGTGAGCGATTGCCCGTGTTCACCAACGCTTTCTGGGTGATTCATATTACGTAAAACTAGCGGAACGCCTCATGGCTCAAGGGTCAAATGACGAGGACAATGCACAGACACATATCTATCTACACAGATAGACACATATGGTAGGTCCCTCTTAGCCATTGAGATGCCAGGGCAGCTATACGTATGTTGCGTTCAGGAAATTCAGAGCTGCGAGTAGCAGCCCATACTGTATTTTTACCTTTCGTATCAATATTTTTCTGTTGAGACATAACTTGAAAATTTCGTATGAAGTGACGTTTCTAAGTAGAGGTACCACTGTAATGACGCTACCCCACAGCACTTGCGTTGATACATTGACATTAAGCTTCATTTACTGGTCATACAATGTACCATATTTTCCGCACTACAAGGCACGCCGAAAAGCATTCAATTTTCCCAAACGTCGACAGTGTGCCCTATAATCCGATGCGCCGTATATATGGTGTTACAGTCTCTTTATATTCCCCATTGAGTTATTTCCCTGTTAGTGTTCTTATGCCATCTAGTGGTGGTTATTGGCAGGAACCGATTGTAACCTGAAAGGGTTCTACCCGACACAAACTGACATGTGCACTCGCCAACACCAACACACACTCAGACAACTACTTTGTGAGCTTTGTGCAGCTATAATGAAACAAATCCGAAAAGCATTGTTAACTACTGACTAAACAAAGGAAGGAGGAGACAAGCAAGACTTTCTAAGGATAGTTAGCCCCATGTGGAGGTGAACCCACGAGGTTTGTGGGCTTTTTTTGTTGAATCAATTGTCTTCATAACTTTTGTCCTTCATTTATTGTTTTGTAATGCCATTTGTATTTCGATGTTTCATGTCCATGTTTGTGACCAGTTCTCATTGATACAGTTGCAGTGGTTGTAAGGGTCAATATAAATAAAGCTGTATTGTACACTAAAGGGAATACAAGTATATTGTATTCCCTTCAGTGTAGCACCATCTAGTGGATGTATAGTGCAACTGCAACCACTATTCTAGCTTCTATCCGATGCACCTTATAATGCAGTGCGCCCTATATATAAAACAGTTTGAAAATAGGCATTTCATTGAGGGTGCACCTTACAATCGAAGTGCATTATAGTGCAGAAAATATGGTAAGGCCAAACAAAAAAGATAGTGTGTTTCCGGTAACATGAAATTTCAGTATGGGGTCGGTAGGGCGGACAAAGTTTTTTTTTTTTTCCATCAAAAATTTAAACAAAATAACCATAAAACATGAAACAAGAAGACATTGAACCCGCTGCTCCGCGGCCGGCGCCGCCGCCACCTATTTGGTTTTCTCCCCGCTCCGGACTCGGGGGGCCAGGGCGCGCCTCCGCCGCCGTCCTCCTCCGTCCTCCTCCGTCCTCCTCCGTCCTCGGTTTTTACTCGGCCCGTGGTGTTCATCAAATAGTTCGCTGAATTTTTTCGATACATCAATGGATGCTATTTTCTTAACATTACGGTGCGAGCATGCGACTAACACAGAAAACGCGGTTTAAACTGTCGTCAGAGATCGCGGCCGCCACCATGTTTCAATGTTGTTGACAGACGACAGGGCAAACGACGCACGCACTCAACGTGAATATCGCGAGAGTTTGCACCGATGTAAACCCTCTACACAAAAATGTAGAGGGTTGTTTGAAAAAAATGCCGACCGTAAAGTTTTTTTTCGACGTAGAAATTCTCGGTCGGTCGGGTTACCGGAAACACACTACTTTTTTTTCTATGCCTAAGTGTCGCAAGCGTCTCAAAAAAAACACTAATGAACTACTACTATCTTGGAGTGCATCATGTCACTTGACCCACCTTTCTAATTTAATTTGTAAGCAAGTTCATTGTTGGAATACGACCTGTTTTATGGTTTTACTTACCTGATTGTGGAGTCAGTCCGATGTTAAGACTAAGGCTCGGACCCGGTTTACCGTGGAGCAAGCACGTCATAGATGGGAACTTCATTACCTCTACACCATCTTATCTATCCAGTATTGTTTATCCATGTTATTTTGCACAGTATAATGTAATTGCAAATGTTGCACTGGCGCAACTGTTGTCAAAGTTAACAAAGTACACCCACGCTTTAATTTAATGCACGTACGCCAAACGGGCGAAATGCGTGTATGCGCGCCTGTCTTCTTCTCTAGTTTGCAATCATCTCCTTTTGGGGTTAGCAGACGGGTACTCAGTGGACAAGCTTCAAAAAACAATTCGTTTTGCTCTCAAAACACACTCTTATTCTCCAAATTGGGTCTTGCTTGCTTGGAATGGTATCTCAAATCTAGCGTCATACTGTTGCCTTTGCCTGCACCCCGCAGAATGGCTTGCAATGTGAGATCAGGGGTTCCTTCATGTTTTTTTTTTTCTTCAAACATTCTGTCAAAACATCTTTTCTATTGATATTGATCCCCTGTCTATCGTGATACATGTTTATATTGAATAATCGCCCAGCCGTAGCATTTATACAACTCATTATTTTCCAAAGTCCATAATCTGTAAAACTATTTTCTTGTGTATGTGAGCAGGGGTTGCTGGCCTTGGAAGGTGAACTGACTCCCATTCTAGTGCAGATGGTGAAGAGTGCTAACATGAATGGGCTGCTGGATAGTGACAGTGACTCGCTAAGTGGCTGTCAGCACAGAGTCAAAGCCAGACTCCATGAGATTCTGCAAAAGGACCGGGACTTCATTGAAGAAGATTATGACAGAGTGAGTTGCCGACCATGATTATGAACAAGTCTGGTGTGGTGAACCCTCCCAAACAGATGTAATAATGATGCGTGTCTTCTATATGACAGCTGGCCCCAACGTGTAGTGCATCATTGGTGAATTCGATGAAAATAGTCCAGAACCCAGTGGCCACATGTGACCAGGTTTACACTCTCATTCAGAGCCTCACTGCACAGATCCGCAAAAGAATGGAAGATCCCAAGTCAGCTGGTGAGTCATTCAATTATTGATTCATTCATAAACTCGTCTTGCGCCTTCTCATCTTCAAAAGGAAAAAAAAAAACATTTTAGCAGATTGGGTCAGAGGATGTGTGGGTTGCAGAGTAGAGGCTTTTTTGGGAACCCCCCCCAGGATGCCCATGGAATAGGAGTCAGCTTTACCTTTAATCATGGGATTGGGACAGTACAGGATAAAAAGTTCATGGGACTAGACAGGAGCAAGACTATCCAGCAGCGGGGAAAATGTTGGACAGATGTGCAACCATTTATTTTAGCTGACCTCCAAAATGAGAGCGGTACGGGAGTGAGTCATTCTGAACGGGAGCAAGACGGGAATGAGAGTTTGTTTTCACCAGGAGTCGGACGGGAGTAAAAATCCACTCTGTGTCACCCTCAAGTGCAAAGATGGGGGACTGAGTCAGACTTGAGTTACGTATGACCTGACTTTGACTTGAACTACATGACTTGACAAGTCATATACTGTATATCTTTAAATTGTGTGCATTCGTGCCTACCCTGTAACCATGTTCTGTGCTTTCTGTCCTCAGACCTGCAACTTTATCACAGTGAAACACTGGAGCTGATGTTGCAGCGCTGGTCCAAACTTGAGAGAGACTTCCGCATGAAGAACGGTCGCTATGACATCAGTAAAATACCTGACATTTATGACTGTGTAAAATATGATGTCATTCATAACGCTACTCTGGGTTTGGAGGACACACTGGAGTTGTTCAGACTTTCTCGTGCTTTGGCTGACATCGTGATCCCACAGGTAAATCACAAGAAGGAATCCGATACTACTACTAATTGTGTCACAGAAAAAGTAGTTCATTGGTTTTGTTGAAGCAATGGGAAATTAAAGAAAATATTTCTTTGTTTGATTGTATTGGTTTTTTGATCCTTCCAAACGAATTTCTCATTGAAGTAAATGTGTTGTTTTAAAATTAGAAACAGAATCGTGTAAATCAATCCTTTACCTCTGGTGGATAAGGTTTGTCTCTTGACATTCAGAATAAATGCCAGATCAAGTCAAAGTAAAAAAACTAAACTGACACTCAGTTGATCCTTTTCAGCACATGTCAGCTCACCACAGGAGAATACATAGCCCAAGACATGTCGGGCAATAGGTCAAACTACAAAAATAGCCTTGGAGTTTTTTTAATTGCGCTTGAATTTTGGTCATGGTACTGCAGCAATTTTCACATTCGTATTTTGAGTTACCGTTGCATTACTTGTACTTCAAAAGCTCTTGTCTTTTTCCATTCTGATTTGTTGCTGTAGGAATATGGCATAAATAAAGCTGAGAAGCTGGACATTGCTTATGCCTATTGCCTTCCACTGGTTAGAAAGATCCAGCTTGACCTTCAGAGGACTCACGAGGATGAGTCTGTCAACAAGCTGCACCCTCTGTGAGTGTGGGCCAGACTATCTTTGATATGTAAACTGATGGGCACAAAGCTTCAAATGACAGCTGTGAATGTTTTTGATTAAGTGGCAGATCTTGTTTGCAGATATTCACGCGGAGTGATGTCGCCTGGACGACATGTGAGGACACGTCTATATTTCACCAGTGAAAGTCACGTCCACTCTCTGCTGAGTATTTTCCGCTACGGTGGTTTACTTGATGTAAGATGTGAATCTCTTTGATAGTCAAATATATGTCCTGGCAGGTTACACTTAAACAGTTTGTCTTTTTGTATAACAGGAAGAGAAAGACCAGCAGTGGAATCGTGCCATGGATTATCTTAGTGCTGTTTCTGAACTCAACTACATGACTCAGATTGTCATTATGCTTTATGAGGACAACAATAAGGTGATATTTTGTGCTCATTATTATTCATTGTTATCTTCCATGATCAACAGCAGCATAAATGTAAATCAAGACGAGAATATATAGTTGCAAGGAAAAGTTTGTCAACACTTTGGAATTACCGGGATTTCTGCATTAATTGGTCATAGTGTGTGATCTGACCGTCAAGTCACAACTTGTCAATTGCCTACATTGTCCTCACGAGAATCACTCTCATGTGGTTAAAACTTTGCACTCATACAGCGACAATTCACAAGTCTCCTAAAATATGTTTCCTTCAATTGGTGCATCTCCATTAAATGTGCGAGTATGTGATTTTGGCATGTCCCACACACTGCTCTGCGAATTACTGGTAATACGTGGTTAAATGGTGCTAAATCGCAATCATTTTAACATGATTTTATTGTCCACAAGTTCTTTGATCAAACGTGTCATTGAGTCATGTATATTTTATGTTCTTAATCAAATTGAACATTTTTCACATGTCCTTGAAATTGCTGTCGACCCTGCCATTATGGGGTACCTGACCATTGAAGCAACCAGCTAATATTTTCAGTGTCATTACTACCAACATTTTGTCTTACTTCGATGGAGGCTGAAAAATTGGAGATAGTTGCAGAATGATGATTTAAACTTCCTTCATGATTTATCATTAGGTGTGTTTCAAACTTAGCAAGTCCAAAACGCCACTAGATGGGGTTGCATTGCCCTCAGAAATGAGCAAAGTCTAAATTGCACAATAGTAACCTGGTCATGGAAACTGAAATTTTGAAAAATAATACATAAATGTGAGCAAAAATGTTTTCATGCTCTCATAAGATGGTTTTTTGAGACGTGTCGATATAGAAGTAGATCACAAAAGTGTACTGGAAACACATTTTTCTTGTTTCCACATTATGTGACATCGCCTCCAGCACCCACAGTGATAATCATTGGTTCGATGAGGACAGGGAAGTGGGAGTTCCTGCCCGAGTGGCAGGACGTGGCCGGCAGAGGGCAGTCCTTGCCAGTGGGCTGCCGTGCTGGGAGCACACTGCCCCGTCCGAGTGGAAGGTGCAGTGAGCACTGTGCAGCAGCCCTGTGGGAAGCATCGAGGTCTGGCCAGGGGAGCACTGTAGAGTGTGGAGGTCCGGCGGAGACCAAAGTTCCTGAATCTACCCGCTTCACCGTCGCCCCAAGGCTTTTCAGGCCGTTGCGGAGCCAGTCGCGGCGTAGGAAGTGCGCCCAGCTGGGGGCCGCCGTGCCGGGCCCGGAGCGAGTGGTCACCGCAGAGGGTTAACCCACCCGCCAGGTTGAAACCCCACATGGACTGAAAACGTGTCATGAATATTCATGAGTGTTTACCTTTTTGGAAAGAAGAAAATGAATTTTTCGGGTTTTGGGGAAAAAACAAGTCCAACTGTGAAAATATACGATGTTATAACGTGGAAACCTGCAGCCAAAATATGGACATTTTAGCTGTTGCAGCTTTAATGCAGTGAATTTGAAGTTGAATGAAAAATGGAATATTACGCAGACTATTATGCTTCCATGTTTTAAACCGTATGTATATGTAACAGTACAGGGTGGAAATAGTATGTGAACCTTTTGTTTTAAAGTTGTTGAGCCTCCTTTGGCAGCAATAATCTCAACAAGGACAATTAAAGAAGAAATCCAATTCCCTAGGGTTCACGTGCTTTTCCTTGCAACCGCATATGAAATTTATAAAACTCACATTTTTTACTGCACCTTTAAAAAAGTTACCAAAAATGTAACTGTGTGTATGACTTGTATACATTATTCTTCTTTAAAGGATCTCTCTTCAGAGGAACGCTTCCATGTTGAGCTTCACTTTAGCCCAGGAGTAAAAGGTGTTGAGGAAGAAGAGAATGCACCCACCGGCTTTGGCTTTAGACCAGCCTCTGCAGAGGTAGCACGACAGGTACCAGCACAGTCAACCCTCCTAACGATAGCAGATGTGGTCATTTGCAGGTGCTCACTTTTTGCTTCTCATTCAGAATGGACAAAAACAAACAGACCCAGGAAGCTTGGAGGACCTCTCACGCGATGAGACGGACAGAGCTGTACCACTGTCTGAGCCAATCACCATACAGAGGAGATCACCACTTATACGTAATCATAAAACCGGATCTATGGAGGTTCGTTGTTTATTCATAGTAATCATACTAGTGTTCTCTGGTATTTGCTGAAAAACTCAATTGTTCACCGGTTTGGGGTTTCTAAAATTCTCTCTGATGCCACAAGATGGTGGCAAAGCCATGTGTAGTATCTAAAACACTACAAGATGGTGCCAAAGGTCTTGTCTTGGTGTGCGTGCGTGCATGCGTTATTTGGATCTATATATTATTATAATAATAATAATAATAATAATAATATATTTTATTTAAAAGCGCCTTTGGGGAGCACTGTAGAGTGTGGAGGTCCGGCGGAGACCAAAGTTCCTGAATCTACCCGCTTCACCGTCGCCCCAAGGCTTTTCAGGCCGTTGCGGAGCCAGTCGCGGCGTAGGAAGTGCGCCCAGCTGGGGGCCGCCGTGCCGGGCCCGGAGCGAGTGGTCACCGCAGAGGGTTAACCCACCCGCCAGGTTGAAACCCCACATGGACTGAAAACGTGTCATGAATATTCATGAGTGTTTACCTTTTTGGAAAGAAGAAAATGAATTTTTCGGGTTTTGGGGAAAAAACAAGTCCAACTGTGAAAATATACGATGTTATAACGTGGAAACCTGCAGCCAAAATATGGACATTTTAGCTGTTGCAGCTTTAATGCAGTGAATTTGAAGTTGAATGAAAAATGGAATATTACGCAGACTATTATGCTTCCATGTTTTAAACCGTATGTATATGTAACAGTACAGGGTGGAAATAGTATGTGAACCTTTTGTTTTAAAGTTGTTGAGCCTCCTTTGGCAGCAATAATCTCAACAAGGACAATTAAAGAAGAAATCCAATTCCCTAGGGTTCACGTGCTTTTCCTTGCAACCGCATATGAAATTTATAAAACTCACATTTTTTACTGCACCTTTAAAAAAGTTACCAAAAATGTAACTGTGTGTATGACTTGTATACATTATTCTTCTTTAAAGGATCTCTCTTCAGAGGAACGCTTCCATGTTGAGCTTCACTTTAGCCCAGGAGTAAAAGGTGTTGAGGAAGAAGAGAATGCACCCACCGGCTTTGGCTTTAGACCAGCCTCTGCAGAGGTAGCACGACAGGTACCAGCACAGTCAACCCTCCTAACGATAGCAGATGTGGTCATTTGCAGGTGCTCACTTTTTGCTTCTCATTCAGAATGGACAAAAACAAACAGACCCAGGAAGCTTGGAGGACCTCTCACGCGATGAGACGGACAGAGCTGTACCACTGTCTGAGCCAATCACCATACAGAGGAGATCACCACTTATACGTAATCATAAAACCGGATCTATGGAGGTTCGTTGTTTATTCATAGTAATCATACTAGTGTTCTCTGGTATTTGCTGAAAAACTCAATTGTTCACCGGTTTGGGGTTTCTAAAATTCTCTCTGATGCCACAAGATGGTGGCAAAGCCATGTGTAGTATCTAAAACACTACAAGATGGTGCCAAAGGTCTTGTCTTGGTGTGCGTGCGTGCATGCGTTATTTGGATCTATATATTATTATAATAATAATAATAATAATAATAATATATTTTATTTAAAAGCGCCTTTCATGCCACCCAAGGACACTGTACAGACAATAAGAAAATACAATGTAAAAATTTTTCGGTTTTCGGTTCGGTGTGTGTTGACTCTGAGAAAAATCAATTGTCCTGTACATGGCAACAGTCAACACCGAACCTCACTTCCAAACCTGAATAAACATGTTGAAAAGAAAAGATGCCAAGCATCCATCAGAAATGACAAATGGGCACGAAAACTAAGGAGAAAGTTTTGATTTATTATTTTAAATGTTCTGAAATGTACAATTTTAATCCGTTTTTTTTGGCATGTTTATTGTTTGAATGTTTGTAATTTTGACCGGAAATCATTTTATTTTTGTCCATTGATCTAATCCCCTATCGTTCAGATTGTTAGATTTGATTTGCAGCTGCTGAGGGAAACCCGTAATTTCTTTTCCTCCGCTTTGTTATAACTTCCATCCATCCATCCATTTACTGGTCCGCTATCACTATCTATTTACCTATTTACTTAACTTGGAGGGATTGTTGTGCATTTTCAAATACAATACAATAAGTGACCGATGACTGGTTTTGGACATTTGTTCCATGAGTATGTCTAAACTGCTGCTCAGCTGGAGGTGTCCATCCATCCATTCATCCATCAATTCATCCATCCATCCATCCATTTTCTAATCCACTTATCCTCACAAGGTTCGCGGGGGGTGCTGGAGCCTATCCCAGCTGTCTTTGGGCAATAGGCGGGAGACACCCTGAACCGCTTTCCTGCCAATTGCAGGGCACATACAGACGGACAACCGTCCGTGCTCACACTCACACCGAGGGACAATTCAGAGTGTTCAAACAGCCTGCTATGCATATTTATGGAATGTGGGAGGAGACTGGAGTACCTGGAGAAAACCCACGTAGGCCCGGGGAGAACATGCAAACGCCACACAAGAAGGCCTATGAGGTTTATTCGAGGCGCGATTATTGCTAGTTGAAACTTTGTTCTGACTTGACTGGATAAATGGTAGGCATACATGAATGTTACTTGAAGCATTCTGTTATATTCATTTTAATTCTTTGCACTTTGCTGCATTCCTCAAAACGTGGTTGTGCTACCCGAGATTGTTTGAATGGTATTTGTTTGGCGTTTTTTATTCATATTATATTCATTCAGTTGTATGCCCTTTATTTCAGGTCATTTTAAGGATATGCTGTGTGTTGATGTCGGGATATAACATTTTTGGCATTCTCTGCTCAAATTTGAAGATATTATTGGTGACTGCAGTGTTGCATTGAATTTCCTAAAGATGAAAATTAATTTCTTTCCAGGTGCTGTCAGAGACTTCATCCTCCAAAGTTGGGAGCTATCGCCTCTTCTCGTTTTGCTCTCGTCAGTCGCCTGACATTAAACAAAGTGGGTTAGGTAAGTATCACGCTACTATTCAGATGCATGCATTTAGATAATGTTTCATGATGATGAAACATCCATATTGTTGCAGGAGACAAATCACCGCTAATCTGATCAGTTTTTATGTATTCATTTATTTATTTATTTTTTGAGTGGCTGTCACGCATTTGGAAATCTTTGCTTGGGAATCACAGACCAAAAGCATAGTTCTGAATCAACATTTAGTTTAGGCTACAATTATTCCACTTTCTTAAGTCACGCTACATCTACTGAAGTTGTGAGCCTCCTGTCAGAGAAAATAAAATGGGTGTGCCGTTCCCTGCTTCCCAATCAAACTGAGCCAGACTAAAATGATGATCAAATTTTAACCGCAATTTACAGACTTCCAAGATTTCTAAACATATCACAGCGGGTCTAACACCAAAATTGTTCATGGCTGGGTTTTTTGGGGGGGGGGGAGACTGCCGTCTCTGTAAAGAATAGCCAAGTATGTATCGATTTTCTTTTCAAGCTCCACTCAACTCCTCCAAGTTTGCGATGCTGTCTTCGAGATTTCCAACTTACTTCTACTGGAATGACGCTGTATTTTTCCGGACTTTCAAAACCGAAATCCTAATTTGCACTCAAATGTAACTTTTCGGTTGGCAGTGAGCTGGTGGGTGATGCCAGACAAACTGCCGGACAAACAATTTTGGTATCAGTGAGCCATTCTCTGTGACTCCTCAGATATGCACTCATTTTCAGCAATCATGCAGAAAGAACCCGTAACTGGAAGGTACCTACATTCTGAATTTTGAAGACAGTGAGTTCTTAGGAGAACATTCAATGGTGGTTGTTTCAGCCTTGTGCAAGAATGACAGAGATGGGAGAGACATTCATTCAGGTTGCATGGGTCCCTCCGCTTCTGTCTGCATGGTTATCTTTTTCTGTAGCTTTTTTTTTTGTTGTCTTTTCTCTCTTTCTGTCGCTCTTTGGATAGTAATTTAAGTAACAGCATGTTATGTGTAGTGGTGACTAACCGCCCGCCCCCCTCGCAGGCTCTCAATGTGCCGGACTGTTCAGCACCACTGTCCTAGGTGGGTCCTCTAGTGCCCCTAACCTGCAGGACTACGCACGCGCACATCGCAAAAAATTCTCCACCAGCAGTCTATCCTACAAAGACGGTATGTGTTTGAGACACAGCACTGCAGAAAAACCAAATGAAATTTTTAACTTTTGACTTGACTATTAAGTACAGAATGAGGCCCTGTGGAGAATGCGGGCATGTAAATGTACAATGTATACAGGTATACGCCAAGAATTACATTTAAAAAGTTTACAGTTCTTAGAATCTTGAAACTCCAGCTCGAAGGACATATCGTACATGTCAAGTAAAAGAATGATTATTATACACGGCCATACGTCAATAATTAAATGTTTACAGTCCTGTTTTAGTCACTACATATCCATTTTAGTCACACAACTGTGTTCTCCCCATCATTCTTTCTCCACGCCACTTTGATGAGCATGTTTCATTTCTGCAGTTCATATACATGCTACTTGAGGCCCTGTTCAAAACTCCGAAGGATTCGTGGAATCAGATGTAGTCTAAAATCATAATCGCACTTCAGATTGGAGTGCGTTAACTGCAAGCACTGCTTTTCCAGTTTCATTGTCGAAAATCCTATTTCACGGGTTAAATTGAGTAAATTGTTCGTTGTAGTACTGTAATGCTATTAGTGTGTTGTGCATCTGTGATCTATCAGTAGTTTTTGTATTTTCATCAACAGAATCCGGTGCGACTTGTTGGGCCTGCATGTATGGTGGGGAACTTTTTTTTTCCCCTCATTTGTTCATTACCTGGATCTTCCCCTCCAAATCATAGTCTGCCGTTTTTATTTCTCTCCATGAATCCTGGCTGCGCTGACTTTCTGTTGTCTCTTCAGTGTTCAGTTAATACTGGCACTTCACTTGAGGATCAATCCATATTCAGCTAAGTGCAATCAAAACTTCTTCCAATAACAACAACAAATCTTGGTCTTCCATAGGGAGAGAGAAATCATTTACCTGTGTTGGCATCTTGATAAGTTGACGTTGTGTATCTTGGCCTGAGGTGAAAAAATACTTGCCATTTCCTTTTGAATCAGTACAACGCCATAATGTATAGACGATGAAAACTAGGGGCTTGATGAGGCGTTTGCCTTCCACGGTTGCGTCGCTGATATTGAAGTCTGTCATGTTATTCAGTCGGTGTCGGTGTTGTGTCATCGAAGCGTTCTTTTCTTCACTGCTGCCATCCTCATAGCACTTGTTCGTCTTTGTCATCCATCTTGTTGCGTCTCATTTTGAACATTACACATTTTGCTCTCGATCCAGTCTAGTGTTGGTTTCATAATTTTATTTATTCATTTTTACCTCATACTAGATACAGTAAATGTAGAGAAAGGGCCACCAAGGCAACTTACTATTTTTTATTGCCCATTACATTCAACTGAGAGCTGTTCAAGTTCGGAATGAAGAAGGGTGTAAACATGAAAGAAGGAAAATAGACCTAAATTACAAAACTCAATTTTTTCCATATTCTTATTTTTACTATCGAACAGAGTATGATAATATATGATCAACAACTTACTGTGGATCCTAGTAACATTAGTGAATTTTTGTTTCCTCAGAATTGTTGTCTATGCCGGCAGTAAAACGATTTTCTGTGTCGTTTGCAAAGCATCCGACTAATGGTACGTCTGCTTCTTTCAAGTATATTATCACCTCACCTTTCTTCTGTCTTGCATGTCTTCAAACTTTTTTTTTAACCTTATTTCTTTTTCCACATGGCCGTGCAGCATTTTAGTTTTGTTTTTTTCTCCCCAGATTAAGGATCTACTCATCTTTGTTCTTACTTTTCTAACGATGACATTCTCTTTCTAACCAGGGTTCCCACTAGTTCATAGATTTGTACAAAGTACATTTTATATATTTTTTTTATTTTACACTTGGACATTGATTCCATTTTTGTTTTGATTTATACTGTATTTATTCCATATTCTTGAATTAGGGAGATTCCATTTGCAGAAAAAACATTCCATGGTGTAAAATGTACAGCTGCAATTTTTATTTTTCTAAAGATCCAACATTTCCCTGGCTGGTAGATTGACTTTATGGACACAATCAATGGACAGTCAACTGCTAAGCAATATATTTAGCAATATCGTTTGCCGTAATATGAGGAAGTGCATTCTGTTTAACTAGTTGAGCATGAGTTGCTTTCAAACTCAGTTGCGCTGCATTACTTTGACGACGTCGCTTCAAGTCACTGGTTTTGTTTGAAATCTTTTTGATTGCTTTCAACTTGTTGTCTCACCCTTTCCTCCTTAGAAAAGGCATGTACAGCAAACGCATTTGCATTCCATCCACACTGCATCGATAGTGTTTAAAATGTACAGCGGACCTTCTATTCTGTTTTTCCTGGTGGCATTACAGAGAATTGAAGTTGAATGTGACTTTTGAGATGGACTGGACAGTTCAAAATTGAATCGTGAATTCGATTTTAGCTTCTCTCGATCCTTATAACCTTATAACAATGCACAGAACGGTGAGGTGCATTTGCAAATTCTGGATATTGTAAAAGTAACCATGTTGCTTGCGTAGTATCGATTTTGCAAGCGATATTACTTCAAATAATTAATATTCCCACGCTAATGCTGTATAAACACATGGACACAGGTAATGTAGCAATACTAAAAGAACATAATATTTGTAATCTGAAAAGAACAGTAACAGTATATTGAGTCCAATCGCAAATTTCTTCTTATCTCATTGTGTGTACTCCATTCATGCACGGCGCCACACTGTCCCGAAGAGGCCAACACACTCACAGCAGGAACAGATGGTATTTATTTACTGTTATTAATTGCTATTATTTTAGTTAATTTGTATTTTACTTTAGTTTCTCATTGTCCATTGAAGTTATACTTAAAGGAGAGTTTTTAAGGTTTCAATGAATTTACTTTCCTCAAAATTCAGTTTCAAAAGATCCAAGGACTTTTTTTTTTTTAAACCAACAAAAATTTCCTCATGATAGTAAAATAGCATAGCGATGTCACTCCCATCATCACGCCCGAAGGTATTCATACGCCAAGGCTTCAGCTGCAGCACAAACACAGGAACAATTGTATTGAAACAGAATGGCTACTTGTGAACTTGTTGATCTTTTAAAACTTGAATATATGGATGGGCGGCCTGGTGGTTAGCTGGTTAGCGCATCGGCCTCACAGGGCAGAGATGCAGGGTTCGATTCCAGCTCCGGCCTTTCTGTGTGGAGTTTGCATGTTATCCCCGTGCCTGCGTGGGTTTTCTCCGGGTTTCCTCCCACATTCGAAAAACATGCATTACAAGTTAATGGAACACTCTAAATTGTCCCTAGGTGTGAGTGTGGGCCTTCATGGTTGTTCATCTCTATGTGCCCTGCGATTGGCTGGCAATCGGTTCAGGGTGTACCCCGCCTCCTGCCTGAAGACAGCTGGGATTTGCTTCAGCACGGCCCGTGACCCTTGTGAGGATAAGCGTATCCGAAAGTGGCTAAATGGATGGATGAGTAGATAAACTGCTTGGGAATTTTAACGGGAACTAGACAAATTTCTGACGGAGCTATGTCACCCCATAGCCCCGATGTAGTGCCATGCATGTTGCGGACTTATCAAAACAGCAAATCTGGCATGAGAGGAACTGCTCTTAAGATGATCATATCCTCATTCTCTCGTAAGTGAGCCATGAAGAGGTTAATTGTTGTGATCTTTTCAGAGGTTGAACTGGGCAGAAGTAGAGATGTCCACATAATTTAGGTGCCGATTGATTGCCGTTATGTGACATGTATCATGGTTTTGAATGGACACATGCCCAATTCGTTTGCTGACTCCCACCAAAACATGGGAAGAGGGCGTGGCTATACAGCTGACCAGAAGGAAGCGTTTTGAGATTAGTTTGGTATTTACTGATTTTTCCAAAACAAATGGATGCAACTGAAAGTGCCCGATCAAAAAATGCATCATTTTTGATTGGAAAAATGTGTCATCTTTGCCAGATGATCCCTTTGAGAAACATCAGCAGGGTTTAACAGTCTTTTCTAGCTACTTGCTAACAAAAATTTGGATTAAAGTTCAAATAAAACCATCCGTCCATCCATTTTCTAATCCGCTTATCATCACAAGGGTCACGGGTATGCTGGAGCCTCTCCCAGCTGTCTTCGGGCACATAAATAGTTCATTATCCATTTAATTGACTGAAATTATATTTTGTGTCTGGACAATTAAGAAGAATGAACTCTTGCCAGATTAACACACTGATGACCAAATCAAAGAGAAGAGCTAATGCTTCACTTGTGGAGAGTCGAACTCTCTTTCTCATTCTTCCATTTTGTTTGTTGCATCAAAACTTACTACGTTAAAGAGATGATTTACAGTAGGCAGATAGTGATTCTGTTGTGATTGTCAAAGGACAGAGGAAGGAAGATAAGATAAGAAAAACTTTTTTACTAGTCTCGCAATGGAGAAATTCCCAATTCACAGCAGCAAAGTTATGAAAGGAAGAAGTAGAAGAACAAAATATAGGAGCTGCTGGAAAGGCTGCCACTCTCACGGCGCCATCTTGAAGTCAAAATAACAAAAATAACACAACACAACACATAAGACACAGTCATGCAATCTTAATCACTTTTCCTGCATACACTTTGTTGTTTGAAGCAGTTAAGATGAGAGAGGATCAGAGTCCTTTCACCAGTGGATCAGAGACGTCATGCTGAAAATGTCCCGTCTGCTACAAGCTAAGTTTTGAAAGCAAACACGAAGCTGTAGCGTCCATTGACGAAAAGAAATTGGCTCACATCTCCTGTCCCACGTAATCCGCTTCAACTCCAAGCCACGACTCCCAATTCCACATCCGCATTGGCGCTCTGCGCTGACGCTCCTTTCTTTTCATCGTCGGCTCCTCAAGCGTTGCATCCATCCAGCCGCAGACCGTCCAACAGCACCGATCCCTCCGCTGAACAAAGCGGGGCTGTGTAAAATGCTGCCCATTACAGGCGCAAAAAAACACAAGTGCTCCAGAGCTGTCCAGCAATGACAGGCAAATGGCACCGACATTCCTCCCAATCAAAAACAGTGCTGGTATACCCATGCTGCCGAGAAGGCGCAACCACCAAGCACCGAGTCTCCTCCTTGATGAATGTTGTGGCCAAAAAATGCTGAAAAACAATCCACACCCGGTCCACACTACGCAACAACAAACACAAAGTGACAAAACAAACACAAAAACAACAACAACAAAAGCAGGTCTCATGAGAGCACTTGCCGACGGGTGCCTACTCGGGCGCCATCTTGGACTTAAAAGCAGGAAGGTGTAGCAGTGAAGGGAGTGTGTTATTATGCAAGTATACTGTATATAGATAGTGTGTACAGGCCAAGGGTCAAACTGGAGGATGGTCTGATGGTCAGGCATACCTGAGATGAATTAAGCAATTTCGCTGTGAGTCACTGGATTTTGTATGTCAATCCCAACAAACCTTAAATACCATTTTGTCTATACCAGGGTGCCCCATATGTCGATCGCGATCGACCGGTAGCTCGCAGACAGGTCCCAAGTCGATCGCGAGGGGTGTAGAGGTTAAAAAAAAAAAAAAAAAAAACATTTGCGTGTCTTTGTGCATGTTATTTCTATGATATATATGTATTTTTGTGTTAGTGCACACTGAACCGTTAGCATCCTATTAATCTCCCTTTCACAAAAAAGTATTTTTTTAAAATAAAGAAATAAGAAAGCAGGTCACCTTGAATCTACGGTGGCGCGTGACCTGCGTCACTGTAAGTTGTTAGTGTTCAGCAGTCTGCAATTGAAGCTTGTGATCAGAGCTGCGCTATATCTTTTAATGTTATTATTATTCTCATTCAGAGTTTGTTTCATGCACAATTCACTGAGAGCACTGGCAAAGAATGGGAATCTGGAGGGCCGAGAGAAGCATTTTAAAACGGCACACGTGAGCTATGATAGTTCACGCGCTGCAAAAGTGAGGCCCATGCCTCCGTGTCAGGTCTCTCCGAAGGTAGGCAGTGATTTCCTTTTCACAAACCCGTGTCTCCTTTATTTTTCTGTTTTGGTCATCTTAGGGGCCGTTATGGCTGTTGCTCATTCTGGCATGCCTGTGTAAGCGCGTGCGTATGCACGCATGTGCGGTCACGGGTCCATCGCGGGAGGTCTGTAGATCGAAAAGTAGATCTTCGGTCAAAAAAGGTTAGGCACGCCTGGTCTACACATTTAGTCGGTTCATGCACTAGTCCATGAGTGGGCAATTGCGACACATGAGATATTAGAATACCTTTGAAGGGCCATGCCAACATGGTAAACTCAACTTTTTTGTGTGTTTTGAATTCAGAAAGTGTTCAAGTGGCTTGTTGTATTTAATAAGCTGCTACTTGTTTGGATATGTTTTGCTTTATGATTAGGGAATGCTCATTTTAAACTCGTACGCATAAAATTATATTAGCCGTTCCTCGTTGGGACTCCAAAATAGGTAGATGTGTCAGAATTTAATATTGTTGACAGCGATGCAAAATGACGACTCATAATATATCCAAATACGTACAGTCTATGAAACTGTTCATGTGCAAATTAAGAGCAATCCCACTGGCCTTCTTCCCTCCACTGTGCAGGAAATGGTGATAACATGAGGACAACTGTTGGCATTTTTGTCATCCCAAAAAAATGAAAATGTCAGCAAGTTGACAAGAATGAAGATGTGTTGTAGCTGTTGCTCGCTGCCTTGCTTGTACTGTCATCCAAATGTGCACATCCATAATAAAAGCGCCACATAATTTACGTTTTCTATTGACTTTATGGTAACTATGAGAGCTGAGGGCAGAAGCGAGACAGGCCAGATGTTGCACTAGGGCTGTGGGGGAAAAAAGTCAACCACAAAAATTGGTCGGAACAAAAATGCATGCCTCGAAACTATTAATCAATTACAGTAATTGGTTTTATTTATTACATTTTTTTATTGTGAAACCTGGAACAATTGTTCCGGGTTTCCGCACTGACATTTGTTGTAGCGGGTATTTTCGGCAAATAGGTCCTTCTGGCCACCACTGCGGCACAATGGCTAAGGTAGAATGAAAGTCGTGTTCGTGACAGACAGCCCTAGTCTGCACTTGTCTGTTTTCCAATCCTCCAAGATGAATTAAAAACTTGAGACTGACAGCAGCTCTTGTGTTTTCTCACTGACCGATCATCATAATCAATACATAAATACATAAATTTGGCTTTTTCTGTTGTTCGTGGTAGAACAATTGTTTTAATTCTGCTGGTAACTTGTTTTTTTTTTGTTGTTTGTTTTTGCTGGGTGGCTGGGTGATAACAAGAATCCCCCTCCTGACATTTTGCTCAAAGCCAACAGTGGGAACCCTGCTGAATTTATTGCATACATTCCATTTTTCCCCATGAACGTGTGTGTACGTGTATGCATGCGTGTGTGTGTTCACATGCATGGTAACTACGTAAAATGCACCTGTTGTAATCATTGGGAGAGATTTGAATGAAGTCCATTGTTTTAAACTACATTCACACAAATGTTTGAACCCTTTTACTAGTGCCTCTAAGTCCGAATTATCGCACTCTGAAAATAACAGTAATTTGTGATTGTCCTCTTCTCCTGTAGAACAAAAAAAAAAGAAAATAAAGTGTGTTTCCAAGGTTAAGAGTTTTTCTTCCTTGACCACACCTGACTTTACTCAGATCAGTGCTTAGTCAGCAACCAGAGCCGTATTCCTCACTCCATCTGTCTCATTTAAGAAATGTGTCACGTTGGCTTCATCTGACGCATGGCATTTCAATGCAGTGATTGTCTTGTGCCGTGTTTCTTTCTCTGTGTGATAAGCACAGAAAAACCTACTTTCTCGATGTGGCCAGGGAACAGGTGACATTAAATTGCAACTGCTTTCCTTGGGAAGAGGTAACATTTCCCCACATTCAATGCAGAATTATTTCACTAACATGAGAATGAAGAGTTACCCCCACACAGGAAGGAATAATATTTCACACAGGATCACGGGACAATATTTGTAAATCATGGATTTTTTTGTTGTTGTTGTGTGCCCTTGCACACTTGTTTTGTTCTATGAAGCGTGAGGTTGAATATCGTTTAAGTGAACTTGAGTAGTAAATCCTGTGACATAGTCATTAGCGGACCAGCCTGGATGCTCCCCTCTCGTGTTGTGATCGGATTACTGTCAATTGCCCCGTGAATAGTCGGAGTTCTTTTATTTGGAGATCTATTATTATGAAGCTGACACCTTTTATTGGCCTCGAATCTTGAGTTTTCTCTGATTGTCCTGTTAGTTGTGAATGGTAGATGCTGGATATTCTGAAAATATTTTGATACCAAGTTCGTTATTAATCACATAGAATCAGTTTTTCCTAGAATTGAGCATCTGTTGCAATCAAATAGCCTTTAGGAACGTCCCATGGGGGAAAAAAAGTTTATCTGATGTCAAAATTGATTTTTTTTTAAAAACATAATAATAATAAAATGGAAAAAATAGCACATAAAATCACTCCCCATCTTGAGTTTTGTTGATGCATGACAGACAAGCGACAAGTCTCTTCATCTGAATGTCACATGCTAACATGTGTAAGTGCAGTTTACATGTTCTCCCCGTGCTTGTGTAGGTTTTTGCCAGCGTGCTAGATTAATTGAAGGCTGTGAATTTCCCATTGTTGAATGTGAGCATACAGTATATAGCGGTTTTCTTTGTTTCCTGCAATTGACTGGCTACCGGTACAAATTGTACAGCCCTCCTCACCCATAGTCAGCTGGTATAGGCTCCAATGACCCATGCCTCAATTGAGAGCAAGAAGTATCGGTCATGAATAAGGTGGGTGCACATTCTAAGACTAAAAAGAATTTGTTGTGGAAAAACATGCAAACCTGAATGCATCACCCTTAACCAGTGTAGTGGTTAACATAAAAAGAGAAACGAATGCTTGTGGCATCTGAGGTGAGTCACAAGACTCAATGCAGCTGATGTATTCCACTGGTCAACAGCAAATTTTAATCAGAGATGGCTCTGCATCTGTATTCTTAATGCTGATTTTAAAATGCCTTTGCTTTTTTGTCTAGCGCATCAGGTTTATGAGATTTTTTTTTTTTTGCTACAACTGTAGGTGCCAATTTAATATTGGTCGATTTTTTTGTGACGTGTTCCACATGCTGTGTAGTATTGATATGTTCAATTGGCATATTTCATAACCAAGTTGAAATAATTGTCATGATTATTTTTTGCTGATGTTAGATTCCATTTGTTTTAAATATGCCCTAGTATGTTAGCATACTTTTCTTCTTTAGAAAATACAAAGAAGTCCCTGTCCAGTCTCAGCCTCAAAGGTGTTATGTCTGTGCGGAATAGCACCGATAAGGACGTTTTAGAACAAACTTTCACCTGATAGGCTAGGGGGGAAAATTCGGGCAGATTTGGAATCCGCTTGAAAAAAATCAAGAAAAGTAGTTTACTTGCATCTCAGATTTAAAAAATATATATTTTTTTATTTGTTGACCAGTGTTAATGTCAACCGCTGTATCATATTGAGCAGCCAGACAGACATATCTACCACTTCTCTATGCCAAAAATAAGTTCATTTTCTTGCGTTACTCATTGCAATTACTTGATACCCTAATACAGTGGCCCAAAAAAGAAAAAAAAAATCAAAATGTGCTTGTGGCGGAAATCCTTTGATACAGTGAAGACGCTGCAGTCTCACAATATGTCCTGCTCATGTTAAAATTGTATTTCCACACAATTTGAGCAATATATCTTTTGTGTGTGCGTGTGGGAGGGTGCCGTGAAACGCAATGTTCTGAAGAATTCCAGTGGTTGAAAATAACTGTACAGTCGGTGGTTCTCTGACTTTGTCAACACACAGCTCTCCTCTTCGAGACAAACTCCGCAACTGTCATTGACTTACACTATTCCCCCCTCATCAACTTCAGTTCCTTCTCTCAAGCTCATCTCTCAGGCTTGCCATCTGTCGTTTGTACTGTTCCCCCTTCTCTTGTGCTGTGTCCAAGCTCGTTCTCCCTGTTCTTCCCCAGAGCCATTGGAGGAGCACCATGTGGCCCAGTTGTTGAGTCGGTTCTCCACAGAACTTAGTCTGGGCTGCCACCTCTCTCTCGACGTTGCACTCACCCACCATCTCCACCAGTGCTCCTACCACCTCCGTCTCTTCCGAAACTGGCTTATCTCTGGCCAGGACCCCATAGAGTACCTTCATGGTTAGCCCGCGGTCCACCTTAAATGCCCAATCTCATGCCTTGTCCGACCACTGCACACGGTGTCGTCTTGGACTGTGCTTGGCCTGTGGTGGACTCATGTTTTGCCACTTGGTGTTTATGCATGCTTGTCTGTTTCTGTGGCTATGCAGACTGCAAGCTGGCTTGGTGCACATAAAGTCTTTTGTCCTTCCCCACCTCTGGTAAACTCTAGACAGATAATCTGCCTCCATGACTTGATTGGAGGCAAAGACCATGAATCTTGCAAGAAAACAAATGTTTTCGTAGCTTGATATAAATTCATTACATTTTGAAAATAACAAAAATATTTTCCTTCACCTATTTGTATTTTACTCATTTGCCTATTTCAATTACACTTACACAACATGATAATGCAAGGTTAACACGATTAAAATTTGAAACCCAGTAATAGTAGTCGTAGAATCATAAGTATGAATATTTCCATGAATTCTAAATAAACATCTAACAACTTGCATCTTGCCTGGCCAAAACACATTTTACTTTTATCCAATACTACTCAATTGAAATATGTGTTAATTACCGTATTTTCCGCGCTATAAGGCACTTCGGAGTATAAGGCGCACCTTCAATGAATGGCCTATTTTAAAACCGTTTTCATTTATAGAGCACACCACATTTTAAGGCGCGTAGAATAGAAGCGACAATCGGGGCTGCGGATGCATTATGCATCCACTAGATGGAGCTATGCTAAAGGAAATACAATACAAAACAGCTTTATTTATATAGCGCTTTCACAACCGCTGCAGCTGTAACAAAGTGCTTTAAAATACTACTAAATCAGAATATTGATCCATATATAAGGCGCATCGGATTATGAGGCGCACTGTCGACTTTTGAGAAAATTGAATGCTTTTAGGTGCGTCTTATAGTGTGGAAAATACGGTAGCTTTATTCAGTCCTACATTCAGACAACTAAGAGTATGATGAAAAGCTCCATACAAATAAAATATCACAAGAGTGAATGCATCCCATGGATTCTATAAGGGGCAGCATGCAGTACTTGCAAACTCCACCCTACCCAAGAGCCTACCTACTGTACAACCCCATTCAATGGTTGTGATGACGATTCGGGGATCTTTAACAGTGACTCCTAATAAGTCAGCGAAAACATTATTCTGCATTCAAGTTCAACTTTTTGTGAGGTGCACGTGTGTGTAGACATGGGGACAAAATTGTTGGTGCTCCTCTGTTAATAAAAGAAAAACACACAGTGGTCACAGAATTAACTTGAATTTGACACAAGTATGTAAATTAACCACTGAAAATCAAGCATTGCTTTTTAAATGTGGTTATACATAATTAATTTTAAACAAATAAAATAAAAACTCATGTAACGAGCCTGGACAAAAATGAAGGTACCTCTTGTAAACATTTTAAGATCTTTTTGAAGTGATGGCCTCAAAAGGTGGCGCAACACAACATGATGGGAATCATCATTTTTGTCCAGGCTAGTTTCATGAGGATTTATGGTTTGTTTGTTTTTTTATTTGTTTTTTTTTTAACCACAAGTCGAAAGCATTTCCTGTTTTTCATTGTATAACTTTCATTAAATGTTTATTAATTATTACTTTGTTAGGTTCAAGTTATTTCTGTGGCCAATGTTGGATTTTCTTTCTTTCTTTTAACATCGACCAGTGCTTCCATCCATGCGTGTTAAGAAGAACAATCATATTTATTTATTTATTTATTGTCATGTGCATGAAATTTGACCCATCACAGCGACCACAGACTGTTAGTGGCACACACTGTAGTAGAGGGCTGCTGGTATCTGTGGCTTGCTCAAAGGCACTGCAGCAATGTGTCTGAGGATGGTCTTGAATTGCGGTCCCCCACGGCAGCACGTGACAATTGTAACTACTGAAGTGTGTGTGTGTGTGTGTGTGTGTGTGTGTGTGTGTCTCTCTCTCTCTCTCTCTCTCTCTCTCTCTCTCTCTCTCTCTCTCTCTCTCTCTCTCTCTCTCTCTCTTTCTCTCTCTCTTCATATATATATATATATATATATATAGTGTGTGTGTGTGTGTGTGTGTATTTATAGTGAGCTACTCTAAATTAGCCAGTATTTTTTTTCAATATTAGCGAGGTGCATTGTTGCTCTCATTGTAAGTTGTTCTCTCCACTGCTGTACCAGTCGTCATGTGACCCACAGTAAAACGAGCTCAACGTGTTTCATTGCCATTACTTTTCTGTAAGGCAGGCATTTCATTTAATCCATCAGTCTGACCCAGCAGCTCACAGAAACATTAAACAGAGTGACATTGTATTGTTTGATTGTCGAGACTTTATGATACGGTTAAAAAAAAAAAAAAAAGTCACATCAAGCATAGCTATGTCTGTTTTCTTGCTGTGCTACAATAAATTCCAGAGAACTCAGTGGCATGCTCTGCCAGTTTATTTTATCAAGACCACAACCTCATTTGCCTTTATCTTGATTTGAAGGAAACATTTTTCTCGTAAATTAAACAGACATGACCCCAATAATCATGATTAGATTGTTTTCTCAGTTACTCCGCGTTTGTGCATTTTTCACAGTCATCCTCTGAGCAGCTCTGGTGACGTGTGGCTTGGTTGTCCACTAACAGCAGTTAAACTGACTGATAACGTGTGTCGTGCCTGATGCTGCTGCAGCTGCTGTGTGCGGCTGGAATCAAACGCGTGTGGAAAGGCTAACTAATAAGGGTGTTGTTGGTTTTAGACTCATGGCGCGATATCGTGTTGCCATCCAGCATGGATTTTGAATCTTAGCTGTGTGGAAATGAAAGGGAGAATGTAGTAGCAGTTCACAACATGTTCTGCTCCGTTGCGAAGAAAGATGGTTTTTGAATTTTAATTGAATGGGAAGTGTTGACCTGCTGTCTCATGTGTCAGCTGCCGTGGTTCAATCTAGCAGCTCATCTGGCCACCCAGAGCAACCAAGAGCTGACATTGTATGTCTCTGTGTACCATCTCTCTCCTCTACCACAGGCTTTGAAGGCTGCTCCATGGTACCCTCCATCTATCCTCTGGAAACACTACACAACTCATTGTCACTCAAACAGGTCAATGAGTTCCTCACGAGTGTGTGTGAGAGTGCCGGAGATCCACATACAAGGACCTCCAGAGGTTCGCCACTTAACTCCATATCAATCGGCGCTATTGTTAAGTATTTGGGAAGAATCGTCATCTCTTCCTCGTTGGTCTTTTGTCTTCGCAGCGCTGTCAGCCATGTTTGGTGCACACAACCATCCATCAGGGGATGGTTCATATATCCCCCACAGAGTCCTCTCCTCGTCCATGTCTCTGAGGTCTCGGTCAGACAAACCTCCATGGTGTGAGTATTAAACTTCACTTGACATCATTGTTGTTATACTCAACTATATGATAAGGAAGTGTTCCTCTTGCCATGTAGACTTTGTCATGTACATTGTGGCTGACTTCAGTTCGCCTTCAATATATGAGACATGGTAACAAAGCCGCATGGAGAATGCGATATACCGTATTTTCCGCACCAAAAGGCGCATCTAAAAGGCTTCTATTTTCCTAAAAGCTCACACCGCGCCTTAAAATCCGATGCGCCTTGTGTATGGTTATTACGGTAATATGTCGACCCCCAAAATGGCTCCTTGCTAGAGAGACATGCTTACAACGCAGAGTTTAAACTTAAGGGGTTACGCAGTTGAACGCGGAAATAGAGCAGCGGCAAGTGAGTTCAATGTTTAACGAGTCAATGTTCTAACTTGCTGTTTGTTAAGTGAACTGTGTCGCTGCTTTATTAAATAAGTTTGACTGACATTTGATCGTTCTGTAGCAACGCCACTCAACGGCTAAGCTATCTTAGCTGTTGTCTCTTGTTCAAGGCTTCTTCGATCTGTGACGTGGGTTGCGTTGGCCGGCGCTGATTGGTTGAACCACGTGCGTATGTGCTCGCGGTCACGTGTGCACAGCAGAGAGCAGTGGCCTATGGACTGCTGAGGCGCGCTTCACTCGAGTGGCATTGCTAAAGTTCTTTTGGCGCATAGCGCCATCTAGTGGATAGATTGTAGATTGCGTCTTATTGTGCGGTGCGTCCATTATATGAAAAAAATTACAAAATAGGCCACTCATTGAAGGTGCGCCTCATAATCCAGTGCGCCTTTTAGTGTGGAAAATACGGTATGTAAAGAAATGGATTGACCTTAGGGTTCGGGCTGTCACTATCGAATCATTTTCGAATCGATGATCCGAATGACTCTTCCATCAAAAATTGGAGAAATCCCCTTGCAAGAATAGGGGTCAACACATCTTAGCACAAAATTGCTGATAAAAACTGTGGGGAGAAAAAAAAGATTTAGCCAGAGTGCGGTGCATTGGCGCTCTCCTGGAGCAGCGAGCGCATCTCGGGCGACCGCGAGTATGTCAGTCGAAGTAACGAGCGTTACGTCCCGCTGGCACGGCTGTTAAGAACTCATCTTGGCGGCCGTGAGTTAGCCCATGACCAGCTGGCGGAAACATAAACACGTTGGCCTGCTATTTAGTTTTTCTTTATTTCTTGTACACATTTTCAAACAGTTCATTTCAACATCACTTCAACTCACACGCAGACGAGGTCTCTGCTTAGCCCACAAGAGACATTGTTGCTCAGAGGTTACTCTGCTCTTCTGTTTTGACACTGTTTCGACTTGAGATGTCGCCACCCTTCCTATTAATTTAAGTCATTCCTCATTGCTTCCCAACAACCATTGTTGTCATAAACATCGTTTCCACTTTTGATGTGTTGCAGCTCCACACGTTATCTATCTAGCACCTTAAATACCACCACCGCTGCATATAGGGCAATACATAAAGCAAAAATCGGACATATCAACACAAAGACAGTTAAAGCACCGAAACAATGCCGAGTCTCATGCTGAACCAAACAATAAAAATATGTTTTCAGATGAGTTTTAAGGGTGGAGGGAAGAGTGTGCTTGCCTAACATTTAACACAATGTTGCAATTCAGTTTCGTAATTTCTGCTTTGTTTTCTCTCCTATGTCTACAGACAGCAGCGGTCCATCCAGTACCGTATCCAGCGCTGGCCCATCTTCCCCCACTACGGCGGACACCTCCCCACGTTTCAGTTTCAGTGATAAAATCTCTCTCACTCCGCAGAGTAGCGAGGAAACCCATTCCTCTCAAAACCTCCCTTCCCAGCCGGCACCTCCACTGGCATCGCAAGTTCTTGACCCAAATTTCTCCGCTGTTTCAAACCCGTCTGAAGTACCACAGACTCCAAATAACTCACCAGAGGATGATAGTGAGCAATGCCACATCGCTGATCGCCAATCAGATGATCCCGAACACACGCAGGAAGGCCAAGAGACTTGTTCAGCCTCGGACCTTTCCAGCGGTGGAGTTGGAGACGTTGGTTTGAGGCCCCCCTGCTCCCCACTAGCCGAGCTCTCTCTCGGTCGCATGGAAGGCTTCTGTCTCCCAAGCTCGCTGCCTGTGCTGCTGGAGCTCAGAGAGAGCAGCAGCGAGGCGGGTTCCAGCTCCCAGACGCCCATGTCTCCTGAAGGACACGACGAGTTCTTTGACACCCAGGAGTCGGTGGACTTGTGGATGGACAGTACCGAGAGTCCTCCGGAGTCTGAGATGCCTCTTGAGGTCACAGCAGACCTCCCAGCAGAACCATGATGCCACAAAGATGAACAAGAAACTACCACGGGTATGAATTTAATTGTTCAGCTCGTACGGCTGGGTACTGAGCAGAATACCGGGTCCCTCCTCTGTCTCGTAAACTCAGTGGTGATGTCAGTGCTGCTCATTACCCATAAAGACACGCTGACATGAGCCCAATCTTAACAAACTACTGGTCCAGTCCATCAGAGGTAACCTGATATATAAATATAAATGTTTTATATAACATCGTTGTGTGTGGACCGGTAGCTCAGTGCTCCACTCTGCTTTCCAGTAAATCAGTCATGTCAACTTGGTGGTTGGAAGGTAAGCACTGACAATGCAGCTTTTCCTTCATGCTTAGACAGTGGTACCGTGACTTGAGAGTGCACCAGCTTTGTCAATCTGTTTTGTTTTTTTTTTTAGGTGCAAGCAAAATTTGAGGTTTGGTCGTCCTGCGTCTCACAATACTGTACAATCAAAGATACGAGTTAGGTTACAAGCTAAGTCGTGGAACGAATTACATTCATTGGTCAGGGTACCACTTTCTCCCAAAGGGTATCCATAAAGACAGCTAAGAAGAAGTCTTACCTGTTACTGTTCATGTTGCATACCAGGTCAGATGTGCTCGCACTTCCTAAAAACAATCTGACGTTGACTCCTCAATCAAATGCCTGCCTGGCCTGACCTGACGCTGTTTTTTTTTTTCCGCTTGTCCAGAGCCGCCTATAAAGTGGAGATATGTGTACAGCACTGCTAACTGCCAAAGTCTTTAATGCCATTCAAATTTCCTGTTAGAAAATAAATATTTATTTTGACAAAGCATTTTGGGGAGATGGGTATTTTCAATCATGGTCGTACTGTTCGTTATGAGAGCACACCGGTGTTGGGGCAACTTTTCAAAACGACTACTATACTCAAAGGCTACATTTTACTTTTGAAGTCGCTTTTATTGTGTTAAGCACTTATGTAGCAGGCATGTAGAGAACTGACTCCACATGTGCTCGGGAGCTCTTCAGGTCGATGATGAAGCTCATGTGCCACTTTTATCTGTGATCCTACGGTGCAAGATGCCACGAGTGACTTGTTGCAACTGTCCAATCATCTTGTCGGTGTGCACTGGGATAATAATGGCACCATAGAGAATGGATGTGTGCTGTTTTTCGCTTCAGTGCAGAGGTTGCTTTTTTTTCCCTTCATTAACACTGTTGAAATCTAAGTGGTCAACATTCTGCCTCCTCCCTGTATGTGGATTAAGACAGAATGATAATAAATGTCAAAAGTCTTTGTTCGGGAGAGTAAATCATCTTCAGTGTGAGTGATCTGTTCTAAAAATAAACTGGTTCCTTGAAGCAGATGTTTCGACTCATTCTTTTTTTTTTTTAAGGAGACATGCAATTCTTTCATAATTCTAAACACTTCCCACGTCTTAATACCATGTCTCAAACATGCGTTTGTCCAAATACCCCAATGATCAAGAATCATAGCGCACCTTTTGTATTAGTTAACGATACTGTTCATCTGTAGTCCTTTCATCTTGATTTACGGTATATTCATTGTCTGAAGCTTCAAGTCTTTAGTTACAAAGAGTGTAAATAAAATTGATTCATTTACAGTATTTGTGTTAAAATGGATGTGCATTGAATTGTTTTACCAGCGAGGTGGCGGTCACGTTTAATGGTGGATATTGAAATGATAGATAGTGACGTGCATTCGAGCTGGACAAGAAGACGAGGCTCAATCTAACACTACACCCGACGGTCCTCATTGAAGTGAACGTAGTGTTCGCTGCCCCCGCATCCCCACCTTGGATAAGGAGAAGAAAGTGGATGGATGAATGTACTGAAAGGAAGAGTACAGAGTCAAAATCAACATTTTTGTGACAGTCATTTTGTAATTTCTCCTCAGTGTTGTCTGACTTCCTGCACCTGTCAGCTGTGTCCGAGGGCATATCCCATGTTTGTAATTCAAAACTGGCACGGGTGGATAACTGGCATGTAGGAGTTTGGGGTTTTTTTGTCCTGGACTAATTGGGTCAGATACCGATTATGATCGATTACACTGGGGAACAATTTGAAAAACCAATGAACAAACTACGTGATGGAGAAATACTGATCAGTTTTGGAGTCCACATCCAAAAATTTGTTAAAAACAGCTGTCCGACCTAACTTAATAAAAATTGTTCCCCTGTGTTATAAATTTTGCCGAGCGTTAGATTAATAAGTGTCCGATAACTTGACATGACCACAAGTAAAAGAAAAAAATAATTCTGCAGGCCCACTATGTTTAGTGACAAAGCGTAGCCTTTATTCTTTGAATGTATCATCCGACCTGAGAGGTTGGTTTCCCACCATTACAACTTTTCATGCTAATAGTAAAGCAGGGGTGTCAAACTCATTTTTGTCGTGGGCCACATTGTAGTCACAGTTTCCCTCGGAGGGCCATTATGACTGTGAAGCTGTTTAAATGTTAAATCACTTCATCGTATTATTCCATATAAAGTACACAATTAATAGATTTTGAAATCAAAAGTCAAGGAGAGTCATTTGTTCCCCTGTTGTTCAAGTTTCTGTAATAATGCAAAAGAAGAACATGCCTGTAATAGCTCAACATGCCTATTTATTACATATCACAACTTGAAATTTTGGAACGGATTTTAGCAAGCGTCATGGACGTTGACCTGGTTGATTTGCTTTCGAGGCCACATAAAATAATGCGGTGGGCCAGATCTGGCCCCCGGGCCTTGAGTTTGACACATTGTAGTAACGGCACAATAAAATGGGAGACATTTTTCTTCAGTAAATGATGTTTTATTTGTCTTCATCACACATTTCCCTTTAGACAATCACTATCTTCTCTATTTTTTTTTTTTTTACCAATACACATTCGAAGAGTAAAACTGACTATTGCACTCAAAACAGGCGATGGGGATTGGGGGTGTACTGGAAGGAGAAAGAAGAAAAAAAAATCCCACGGCTTTCTTCGCAGTACAACGCAAACATTTCACGTAAGCTTCCGCAGTACTGGACAGCACGTCTTCATCTCACTTGTAAAACAGGACTTCTCTTCAATTTATTTGCTCACCTGCTCTTGAAATTTATGAGGGTACACATGCACGTACAAGCATTGCTCAGTGGAGGACAGCAGGAATCAAATCACGTGGTGAAAATGCAGCAGTCAAATGTGAACGTTTGAGTTATGTCTGAACGCTAGGTAGTAAAGTGATATCTCTCAAGTCTGATATGCGCGTAGTAGATAGTCATTACCAGTTTGTATAATGTAGAAGTATTGCGGAAAGGGATTACATGGGCCATCGCGGCTGGAAAGGGGTAAACGGACGAACGCCATCTTCCACTTGACTCATTTTGACAATGTTTCCGGTCCCTCAAAGGAATAAATGCGTGGTTGATGTCTTGAAAAGTGCCCTTCATGACTTTGAGATGTGCTGCTGGCCCACGGTAAGCCATTCGATGTGCAGTAAACAAGGCAACCAGGAGATTTCTAAGTCCTCCGCAGAGAACATAAAGGTAATCTGCATCATCACATTCAAATCAACCGAAGCCCACCGCGCCACAGCCTGTTTTCCGTCAAGGAGAAAAGCCGTCGTCTTCAGTGACGTGCGACGGTTGTTCATACGTGAGTCTAGAAAATCGAGGAATATCCAGAACTGTAAAGATTTGTGGATCTAAAATATCGACCCTTAGCGTTGGTCCCGTTATTTGCTGGATGATTCATTTTTGTTTGTGGTTGGTATTGACATTTTTCGAAATGCATGGAACTCACACCAATTCTACAATATCAAACTAAAACACGTCAAGAGCCAAGATTAAAATCACCAAAAATGCCATCCAAAGGCATCTATTGATTACAGAGACTATCCGGTTTAACAAACCAATTGAAAACTCACACAAGCAATGAAATGAATGTTTGAAAAGAAATTCACTAACTTCAGTAATGCATCCAGAAAACAATTATGCATGTTTTCGGTGTGTGTCATTTTGAGACGTTTAAACTAAAGGAACATCTCAAGAGAAAGATGTGGTTTGGGGCATCATTTGTTTCATTCAATTAAATATATTGTCAATGTGCCTTTTTGCTGACTTATTGAAGAATTTACCACCGAAATTGACGTTGGCCGGATCTGTTGCTGAGTTGCTTTGGACGACGGAGTACCAACAGAACCTTGATCAGATGTTAAAGTTCCCCAAGAGGCACTTGTGCTGTACTCTCAGAAACTGGCAAGTTGCCCTTGGGAGGTCAGTCTGATGGCACAATAACAATGGCAGATGTAGAATGTCAATTGCGATACTACATCAACTACGGAGGCCTTTAATGTTGGCCCTTGGAAGTTCAGAGCGGGATATTTCCTCCATCCCTGCAGTCTGCAATCCAGGATGATCAGAGGACCCTTTTTACCCAGCTTTAAGAATTCCACAGCATCCCAATTTGATGTTGCCACCGTCCCAATTTGTGGCTTCGGTTACATGAAGAATGAGTGCGTGCTTGAAAAAAAAAAAAGCATAATAAAATTGTCTCCAAATGATCGAGTTAAAATACATGAAATCATTTCAACCAAATGAAAAAGATTTTCAAACCATTGTTTTCCGTGTCATTGACCCTTACATGCACCAATAATGATAACCTGTAACCTGATAACATGATACGCTGTCCACTGTCGTTACCGCTGTCCCTCAAAGGGTTAAAGTAACTACGAAAGACCGCTTTGACTTTTGTACATTGGTTGTTCTTTGTGCTTTTTTTTTTTTTTTCAAACTGGCAGCTTGTGGAAATCAATGACTGAAACACTTGATTCGATGCTTTAGAAAGTGCTCGACTTGCAAAACGTGAGTCATTGCACTCACGCCGCGGACAAAACTCACAGGAACTCTCGAGACGAGCTCGTCAAATCCTCAATCACTATGCAACTGCTCATGTCCATTCTCAACAACAAATACACATTCATTTCCATCCTTGCCCTCTCCCAGCACATCAGGACTAAAAGGCACATGTGTCTCACCTCTCTCACTAATAACGCCAGCCCACGTCTTGTCCAGTGTGCAACACAACCTCTCTTTTGTCGGACATTCCTCATCCCTGGACACGGCTTTGGAAAAAAGATGCAGCGGCTGATATGAAGTTTAACATCTTCCTTCAAATGCACTCATAAAGACAGAGTGTCAAGGATTGGTCAACCGTTTCTTCGGACAGCACATCTGACTGTTTTTTTTTTTTTTCCGCAAGAGCATATCAACCATATTTAAATGGAAAACAAACCTCAAAGACTACAGGGGGGGAAAAAAATGCGCAGAAATTATTGGTCAAATCCACATCAATTCTAAATGTAACAGGTTATTTTCATCCTAGAAATAGTTCACAACCGTATGGAAATTTGAAGAAAAACCTTTCCTATGCTACAGCAAATATATTGGCGAGACACTGAAAGGACACGGCGGCCCCTACTTGAATATTCTCTATTTCACGATGTCAATCGGAGGCACAAAGTTCAAACACTGGAACCGTCATCAAAGTTAGGAAACTGATCACAATAGTCATTTTCTACCGGCACAATGTTTCAATGCGATCAGCTACACTGCAAAAAGAACTTTAAAACAGATACTGAGGAGGACAGCAATTAGTATTGGCCTTAAAGTGGACTTATATTCATACCATTTGAAGGAATAGCAACGAAGCGATTCTTTGCAGAAACTGCCTTTTTGGCTTTTCTATTCTTTAAAAACAAGTGTACGGTAACTGAGTCTCAAATAGATTGCTGTGACTGCCACAACAAGCTTCATGAATAATTGAAAAAAGAAAATTTGTATTCAGTACTTCTGTAAAGTTACCACAAAAGGGACAAAAAGACATTAATGATGCTTGAAAGACGAAACAACGTTATGGAGGCTCGGCGTGCCACAGCATGCCTAGAACTCAATCTTGCAGGCGGGGAAAGATTCATCCTGCATGACGACAGTGCTGCTGGAGGCCAGGACCATGATGTTGAGCTCCTGCTGACGCTCGTGTGTCTGCTGGTACCACTCGCGAGTCACTTCTGTGTCATGGGTCGGAATCAGCGTCACCTGAATACAAAAGCATCAGGAGATGTTACATCTGATGGGGGCAAAACTGAAACTGTCTTAACTTGAGAACAAATATACTGAATCAGTGCAATGAGTGAAAAATACACAAAAAAATCAGAGGTTCAGCCTTCAATTCTGAGGATGGACTCCCTTAAATTAAAAGGAGAAGTGATATTAACAGTGATCTTTAACCTAGTTTCACACATAAGTATATGACAGACTTCACACTTTAATTAAAAAATTAATAAATAAAATGACCCAAGATGGATATGAAAAAAGTCTGTTTGGGGATGGCAGTCTGAACAAACAAGACCCCAAACATGCTTTTTGTCAACGATGTCAAATACTTAGAGATTAATGAACCATATTTCTTGCACTATAAAGCGCTTCGGATTATAAATCGCATCTTCGATGAGTGGCCTATTTTAAAAGTGCTTTCATATATTGGGCTCACCGCATTACAAGGCGCATAGAATAGTGGCTCCGGTTCCATTTAGCATCCACTAGATGGAGTTACGCTAAAGGGAATACAATACAGCTTTCTATCTATCGAGCCCTGGCTGCAGTTGCGCCATGCATCCACTAGATGGAGAGACGCTAAGGGGATACAATACAATACCACACAATAAAGCTTTATTTATATAGAGCCTTCACAACCGCTGCAACTGTAACAAAGTGCTTTACAGAACTTAAATACTTACAAAACTTAAAATACTACGTCGAAGAAATCAAAATATTGATTCATATGTATCTCCCTCAGGATGCAGCATGAAGCACGAGACGAAGTCCATAAAAATACAGGGTTTATTCACTGGCAAGTCATGAGAACTGGTCACGAACACCGACATGAAAAATATGAATAGATATGGCATACCAAAACAATAAATCAGAGACAAAAGTTATGAAGACAATTGATTCAACAAAAACAAACAACAAAAAAAAAACACATCCACAGTTCAACAACATCGGATTATCAAGCGCACTGTCGGCTTTTGGGAAAATAGAATGCTTTTAGGTGCGCCTTATAGTGCGGAAAATACATTAAGATGAAATAGAAGTTACACTAAAGGCAAAACAACGCAGTACTTAAAATGTACCTGCAGATTTGAACCCCACTGAGCTTTGCCATCCAGCAGTGCATCGAGAACCGCTCGGCTTGGTTCACCACTTGGAGCATCGTTCCCGCTCACCACATAGTATGCAGAGCGGATACGTTTGAAAAATTCTTGATCTGTATTCTTGGCGCTGCAGTGGTTGGGAATGTAGGCCATGTCGACATAAATAGGAGCTGTCGAACCTGCCTTCTGAGAGCCTGGTAGATCACAAGAAAGGCAAAGTAAATCATCAAAAGTCGGTACTTTTTTAGAGCTTGCGTTATGATTAGCTTACCCAAACTGCTTTTGCTACCGCTATTAGTCAGCACCTTGCCAGGGTTGTAGCTTGACCTTGAAAGATCATCATCCTTTGAGCCTTGTCCATCCGACAAGCGAGACATGCGTGAACTCTTGTCCGCTTCCTTCTTTTTCAATGACGCACTGCGAGGAGAGGACGTCTGTCTGACAGGCAGGGGGGACCGTTTGCGCCTGGCTGGGGATGCTGATTTTGTTTTCCCAGATGCTTTTTTCAGCCCTTTAGCTTTCAGCTCTTTTTTAACCGGGGCATTAGCCAAAGAGTCAGGATCCACCATGCAGACATCAGGGCGAGGAGGGTGGGGGTAAGGGTCCTTTTGAGATGCGGGAACTGGATCGTGGCTCTTCCAGGAGGCAGAGGGCTGACTGCCTTCCCCTGTGGCAGATATTTTGTCGATAGGCAAATAGTCTGCATCCTCATCTGAATCAATATTGCCTTCGCCAACAACTGACGGGTACTCTTCTGTCCGTGGAGGCACTTCAGAGTCTGACTGAGAGGCGATGGACTCGCTGATCGAAGTCGGCGGTGTTTCCTCTGTCGCTGGACCCAACTGTGCTGACATGCCACCGGCTTGATGGAAGGAGCTGCTGTGGGTCTGATGATGGTGGGGCTGCTTGTGAGCCCTTCTCTTAACTGACATGTCATGTTCGTCTCCCTCCTGCGACTGGTCACTTTGCTGTCCTTGATCCTCGTCATCTTCATCACTGCACAGCTGCTGCATGCATGGGTTGATAAATGAAGGTGAAAGGTCGGTTTTATGTTGTTTGTACTCACAGGATGAATATCCTGGAGAGGTGTGGCCTGCATATGGAGAGGCTGCTCCCTTGGGTACTTTCCCAGCAATATCCTGATCGCTGTCAACTTCATCCTCCTCCTCCTCATCATCATCATCCTGCCCTTCTTGGCTGCACTCATCAGCATAGAAGGGAGAGTGAAATGGCTGATTAGTTGATGAGAGTGAAAGTGGGCGTACTGGGTGCTCTGGCTCCATTTCACACTCCTCTTCAAACTCATCATCATGACGATAATGGGGAGGAGAGTCGCCGGGCATCCTCCCTATCTGAGGCTTGGACATTTCCCATTCATATGAGCTCCTGTAGCCTCCGGCACCCTCTCTGGACTCCGTCCTAGCCGTGCCTGCAACTGCGCTAGTCGCTGCAGCGCCAGCAAGGAGGGTTGTACTTGCGCTGACTTCTGTGGTCCCATTGGTTTTGTCCGGCTTGCTGGCTTGAAGCGCTGACGACATGTAGGAGCCAAGAACATCGGGGAGAGCACTGCTTGTCTTTTCACCTTCAACTGAGAAAACAGACTTGTCACAAAATGCCAAGGTACCCGTGAGCCCACTGGAGGCTGGGGTACGAGTCATGTCCTGCATATAATCTCCCTCATTCTCTTCTTCACTGCTGTCGGTCTCCTCAAAGTAATGTTTTCCTTCAGTGTCTGGCCGTGGTGAAGAAGTGACACCGAAAAGAGCAGCGCTGGCTGCCTCTTTTGAGAGTGCTGTTTCTTGAGAGGGCATAGTTGGTGAGTCCCCAAAGCCTCTTGCAGAGTCCAGTGTTGAGACCTCAGACCACTCAGGCTTATAGAAGCAGTCTGATTGTGGGCGTTTATCCATAAAACCGCCGAGAGAAGATGTGTGTTCCTTTTTGTCTTCAGCAGAAGCAATGGATGACTGCAAAGGGAAGGGTTTCACTTCCTCAAATGGGCTGAGGGGTGAAAAGTGGGCTAAGCTGGAGGTGGACTCCGCTGTGGTTGCACCGGTCATCTGTTTCTCAGACACTTCAAGATAATCATCTTTGGTGCCAGTTAACGTGGGGAAGGGAGAGTCTAGAACCGGGGGCTGTTCTTCTTTAAAGGAGGAGTACTCAAACAGTGGCTCGGCTGTGGCAGGTGTTCCCAGATCTTCTCCGAGCTGACGGCTTGTCGAGAAGGAGCCTGAAGTAGAGGAGGAGTAGCTATAAGCGGAGGAAGAGGAGTACCCAGGAGCAGCAGTGGTCGTGTACTGAAAGCTCGTGTCCGGCGATTTCTTGTTTAGGTGATCTGGGGACTGACGTTTGTCGACATCAAGATCATCTCCATCATTCTGGTAAAAATTTCTCTCTGTCAACTTCAAGGTAATGTCCTCTTTACCTTTGTCCGTGGTCTGACTTGGTAAAAGTGATTTCTTATGTTCCCATCCATCCAGGTGTAACTCTGGGGAGTAGCCAGAGCAACCTGTTGACCCACCGTTTGACTTTCCACTCAAGAATGTGGAGTCTTCCACATCTTCATCTGCGACCTTGGTGAGTAAGCCAGAGATGTTTTCTTCCACAGCAGGCTTCCCCTGACTGTTAAAACCATATCCAGCCAGGGAAACCATCAATTCGGGCTTTTCTGAGCTAAACGTTTCACTTGCAGGACGTTTTACTTCCTTCTCAGACTTCTCTTTGGCACCTTTCTCCATGTCAGAATCAATAGCACTTTTATCATCTTCATCTTCCTCCTCCTCATCTTCATCATCAACCTCATCATCATCGTAATCTTCCTCATCCCTCGCTGTCAGTTTCCGCATATCAATCTCCAAACATGCGCCTTGATTGCTACCATCAGGACCGGCGGCTTTGGTGACATTGAACTCTGTCATTGAGGAACAGGTTGGTGCTTTTGGGAGGTTGGGTTGCACTGGAAAAGACGAGGGATTCTTTTCAGATGATAAAAGAGTCGAAGATGCTTCAGGCCTGTCTGCCACTGAAGGAAACCGACTTCCTGTGTATTGAAATGGCTCAGGTTCTTTGGCCCCTTTGACCGACGATTGAGCATCTGAAGTGATCATAGAGTCATGCCACAATGCAGTGGAAGCTTCTTTTCCATATGAGACTGTGAATTCATCCTTCTCTGACATCTTGTCTCTTGCTGTTACAGGGTTTGGCGGCAAACCCATGACATCCCTCGAAATATCTTTCTCCACCTTATCGAACGACTCCTGATGAAATGAATCGGATTCCACGGAACTTGGTTTGCTGTCATAAATGTCACTGTAAGAGAATGTTTTGCCATGCACATAAGGTGTGTCTTGTCTGATATAGATGGCTTTCTCTTTGCTCTCCTTCTCTGGGAAATCACACATCCGAAATTGAACACTTTTCTCGGGCCCTTTGAAAGACATATCTGAAATGTCAGCAGTTTCATGACACTTTTCTGACTTGCTTGGATCTGTTGGAGAGAACCTTGATTCTAATCCAGTCGGGAATTGAATTGTTTCATGCTCATCCAAGGCTATAATTGGAGTCTTAGGTTTCTCATCTACACTTGGGGATTTTTCTAAGGTTTCAATGTCTGTCTGTACCTTGGAAGTCTTTGCCTCATTTAAGTCATCATCCAGGAAGCATCCTTCTTTTGCCTCCATAAGTTTAGCCTTAACAGCTGGTTGAAGATCCTTCTTCATATAATAGTCATCTTCATCCACACTGTCCTCTTCAGATTCTTCTGATGTTTCAAATGCTGTTTTGTCACCTGTCAATCCAATGAAGGATGTATTATCAGAAATAGTGACTGACTTCTCCACTTTGTGAGTGTCGCATTTCAAATTGGTCACTGCTGCCTGCTCTTCTGTCTTGAAGAGCTTTTCCTCTGCTGGAGAGTAGTCACTGCTCGTCGGCACCGACTGTGTGGGTGAAGCCAGTTTCACGGTGCTGTCATCAGGACTTGGACATCTGTCATCACTGTCTTGCCTAAAAGGGGACTCCAAACCAGTGGCGAGAGGTAGAGCTGCCGATGCAGGTTGTATTTCGGTGCTGACCGTGAACCCACCTATGCTCGACGGAGACATTTTTTCGTTGGCAGCCTGAGTGGGTGAGGGCTGCTTGTCAGAGAAGACAGAAGGAGAAAGAGTGGGAGAGCGGGAGTTCTCTTTCTCCCTAAGGAGCACGGATGCTGCATGTTCGTAGCCTTCTTGGAGTTTACCCAGTGGTATGTCAACATTTGGAGTCTGATCCTCATCCTCCTCTTCCTCATCATCATCTTCATCATGAACAGGATCGGCCTTGGCATCACTCTCCATCTCATGGATGCTGGGTTGGTACTCATCAGAGGAAGGAGACTTAAAACATTTGTCATCTTCCAGAGAGGAAGTGGGTGAAATGGTCCCGGCGGAATGGAGATAGTCCTTTCCTTGGGTGCCTTCTGGATGAGACGGTGCATTATTGATGGTGTCGAGAAGGAGGGAGTTCCTTCCAACGTCCTCATTTTGAGGGGCTGTAATGGATGCTATGGACTGGTCTTCAGCTACAGATGTGGCAAATGAAGACATCTTGTCATATTCGGTGATGGATGTGGCAGACGATATGTGTTCCTCCTCTGCAAGAGGAGCTGTAACAACAGTGGGGTAAGATGGAATCTCAGGCTCCTGACCTCCCATGGGGGCTTTGGTTTTGACATCCACGACATCAGACACAGCAGAGCGTTTCATTTCTTTCAAACTGTGCACGGAGTCAAAGGTTCTCGGGACATCACTACATCGTAATTGTGTCATTCTCTCTTCTGTATCGTCGTGGATCTCCTCATCAGAGATGGTCTGTTCGGTCTCAGAATAAGCAGGGATGGTTTCATCTTGGATAAAGGAAAACGGCTCTGAGGCCGACGCTACTGCTCCTTGTCCAGGTAGTGCTGCAGTGGATGAGGTAAACTGTGCGATTGGTCTGTTTTCCAATTCTTTTCCAGTGCTTTCATTTTTGATCTCCTGTGTTTTATACTTGATAAATGCATCATCTTCTGTGCCTTCAAGCTCAGCTTTTTCAATTACATCATCATCATCCTCTGAGCTATCACTCTTCTTTGATATGTCTTTTAGGTCACCTTTTGCAGAATATTTGCCATAATCCTCAAGCGTCTTGTCTTCATATTTCGTGGAAATACCACTGTTTGAATTTTCCTTTTGCGGGGATTTAATCTGTTCTGAAGTTGTCTTGTCCGTCTCGTGTTCATCTGTTTTTTCCGGGAACCTGGATGAAACGGTCTCTGTATTAGTACAAAATGATGTCATTTTGTCTTCAGGAGAAAATGACGTCGAAACTTTAGTGTCTTTGTGAAGTGACACCTCAGATATCTGGATAGCCTCAGTCTTGGGTTCAGATAGCTCTTCTCTTTTCAGAGCCTCAAAGTCCTCAGTAAGGTCCTCAGGGGAAGATGCAATAGACCTGTCTGCAAGAGCTGCTGCTGCAACCTCTTCGCGGAGGTTCTCTGGAATGAGCTTTTTCCCATTTGCATGATCCTTACCCGTTGTTTCTTTTTCTGTCTTGGTTTTAGTCTGAGTCTTGACTTTGTGTAAAGTTTTTCTCACTTCAGGGGTGAGTGGCTTGAGGTCAGGTTTCATAATTTTTCTCAATTCTGGCTTACTTATGTCCTTCTTTTTGAGCTCTTTCTTTTCCTTCTCCTCTTTTCTTATATTTTCATCCTTTTTTACTTTGTCTTTCTTAATTTCCTTCTTCTCCTTGTCTCTCTTTTCATCCATTCGAGATACTTTGTCCATTTTGAGACTTTTTTCCTTCGGTATTGTCTTCTTCTCAAACTTTCCTGTTACTGGGGCAACCTCGCTATTTTTCTGTTGTTTTGTGGCCTTCAGACTTTGACTTTTCATTTTTTTCTCCTCTTTCTTTTCCACTTTATTCTCTTTAGTAGTTTCACTCTTGAAATCTTCTTCCTGTCCAACATCTTCTTTCTTCACTATTTTTGAGTTTGGTTTCGGTGACGCTTTGAGACTCTCTTTGCTGTCAGTTCTTGATTTCATTTTAGTCTGTTTGATGATGGGCAACGGCGGACCAGATGATAAGTCTTTTTGAGTAGCTACTGGATATCTCAGAAAGTCAAGGTGTTTTAATTTCTCAAGGCCCTCAAAGATTTTATTCTGTGGTGCATTTCCAGGAAAGAGCACCCTGACTATCTTTTCTGTGGGGCGGTGAGGGATCCAAACAAAAAGAGCAGTAACTGATGTCAAATAGGGAACAGATATTTCTCCTTCTTTTCCATTAGACATCAGAATGCCAGTCTTGGCTTTGCTATTCCCAGCCCATTTTTGCATAAGAAACTGCATTTCTTTGCTCTCCTTGACTGGGTTTAGCACATACATGTCTAACTTTCCCACTCCAAGTTTATGAAAGAGTGTGATGGGTTCAATGGTGTTGCTCACTGCCCTGTGAAGCGGTTCGGGTGTGATACCGAGCTGATTGAGGTACTGTAGTGTCAGAGATGCTTCCTCAATGCTTCTTTTCACTTTTAGAGTGGACTCTGGCATGCGAAGCTTCTCTGGGACGTTCAAAAATACGATCCCAAGCTCCGGGGATATTAGGTTCTTCATTGACTCACCACTGCTGCTTGAACCAGATCCCTGGTTGCCCTCCTCCTCCTGCTCTGCAATCTTTCTCTGAAACAATCCATTGATGCCAGGAAGGTTGTCTGCCCCAATATGGGTAAGAAGAACAGAGTCAATCCTGTCTAGGTGCCGAACCAGCTTCCAGAAGCAAGACTTTTTGTCAGACCCGCCATCCACCAGGATGTTAAACCCGTTGACAGCAAACAAAGCAGAGTCTCCTCTTCCTCCAGGAAAGATGTAGCAGCAAGGTTTGGAAAGTTTCAGGAATCCTCCAGACGTTGGAGGTTCTAGAAGTTCAAAGGGCGAGGGCACATCGACTGTCTCTGAGACATACTCTGCAAATGTTGTCACTCCTTCCATGTCAGGAAGGTGAGGTTCAGGGTTCAAGCGGTATTCCAGGATATTTTGAAACAGATTCTGCTCCTGGCTTTGGCCCAAGGAGCTCCAGCCCCCGTCTCCTTGACAGGAAACAGTAAGCCTTGGTGGCTGCTCTAGAGAGGCCTGGGAAAGGACTGATACCACCTAGAAACATGTCCGTTGAGGCAAAAGACATAGTCTTAAAAAAATTTCTATTATCACTACAAAGTCAAGAGAAAAAAAGTCATGCTCCACCTACTTGAGTGTTGGAGATGATACCAGAGAAGTGTTGCCAGGTAAAGGCCCCACCTTGCAGTAGGATGTCACCTCCCTGGTCAGAGCTCTGTCCACTCAGTATCAGCAGTTTATTTCCAGCCAAGTCGGTGATCAGAGAATGGACCTGTGTAAAGTGAACAGGAATTTCACAATAACCTCGCTAAATTTAAACCATAAACATTACATATCCATAAAATGGATTATCACACCCCAAAGTAGCGCTATGACGTTCATCTTGTCATTTTATTAGCAGAAATAGGTCAAAGGGTTCTTTTTTTTTAGACAGTGGTCTTTTTTATGTCACTAAAAATAGACCATTGTCTGAAAAGAAACCTCAAATCACTTATTACACCCCAAAGTAGTTGGCTCACACTCACAAATCAGAGACAAGACATGGGATTTATCCGAGGACCCCTTTGTCCACAAAACTGCCCGCATTTTGATACGATTCCCTCACAGAAGTCGCATCACGCTTGTCCTTTGGCAACTTCACTGGCTGCACACAGCATGTCATAGAAGATCCTCCTCCTTCTCACATTCAATGCCATCACTGAACCCTCAATATCTCACCAACCTCCACCACGTGAACAGATCCGTCTGTTCTTATAGGTTATCCTCCTCTGTTTAACTTGTTCCACCTCCTGTCCGTTTGATCACACTGGGGTCATGAGCTTTCAATCACTCAGCCCTCGACCTAAAGAACACTCTGCCACCTCATATCAGAGACCCTGACTCTCATCACATTCTCAAAACACACTTTTTTCCAACAGGCATATTCTTTACTGCCCATTGCGAATACATTTGTAAAAGAAAAAGGTAATTCCCACTGCCTTTGACGAGTGAATTCGTCAAACTGTTTTTTTTCAACTGGGAGCAGAAGCGGATAGTCTGGCGCGTCTCCACTTTCAAGGTTGGCGGCCATTTTTTCCACTGCTGGATGGCAGCATCACATTGCATGGGAGATCAGTCAATCTGAACATCAGCAAAAAAAGAAGAAAGTGGGGGACAAAGTCCACGGACTTACAGATCAATTGACAAACAACTGGCCCCTCACTGCTGAAAAGCCAATGGACGGCCATCTTTTGTTGCAAACTTTTTTTTTAGCTTGAATTATCGCCCAGTCGAACATTTGTAGCAATGAGGACAAAATGACTGTAAATATATAAAGTGTCGGAAATTTTGTGATGTGTGTGATGGGTGTTTTCCTCTTATGTCAAAGCTTATGTCACTTCACGAGAGAAGTGCGTCATCCATAAAATACAAAACACATAACATGTCTTGCAACATTACACAATGCCGAACTTTGAAAAATATGCCGGACTCTCGCATACAAACATTGACTTATTTATCGCGTATACGCCTGCGTACCAAACCTTATTTTTACTAATGCCGTGATTGGCTGTTGCATATAAGACTGGCCATGAATCAAACAAAATTGACATCACTGTTTCTTAATATTTTTAATGTCTTAGTGATAAGCAACTCAACATTAGTATTTCATAACACAAAAATAGCTACTATGATCAAATAAAATAATAATAATTTTTTACATTTGAGAAATCCGAGCCATCAGCATGGTGGGCGGGCACGAAGAGAAATACAACCCCGCCGCTTTCTTAACTAGTGATTGGCTACGCTCTGTACTTGTTATTTTGCTTCCCGGCACAACATACGTAACCCGGTTAGGGACGAGTAAATGGATGCACGAAAACTCACTTCCGTCCTTACTTAATCTATCCTTTTAAAAAAAAAATTCTAGCCCTCCGTCCCAAACATGGGTGTCTGTCCGGGACGGACGGACCGTTCAATCCCACGGACGGACGGATGAACCGTTCCCTATCATGGACAGATTGCCCATCTCTGGATAAAGGTCGTGCTCTGTGAATTCCAGTAAAGTCGGCAATTTGATTAAAGCAGTGAACACAGCAGACAGTTGAAGTGGTGGATGTCATGTCGAGATGGGCAAAAATTAATTTATACCGTCTCTAAGTTGCTAAATCGCTCCCTTTTCCGCCTATTAATATTGCGCAGGCATTAACTTTTGACGGACGTCATGGTGCACTCACGTAATCACGTGACGTAGCTACAACGGGTCAATAATGTCTTGCACAGGTATGGCTCACCTCTGAAGAAACAGCATCTTCTGATGGGTTAACCAATACCACTGTCTCAAGGATGTCACTCTGATATTGGAGAATCCTCTGGCCTAAAGTGAACACACAGAAAAAGTTGAACATGTTGTCGAAAAAAGGTATCTAACTGTCATGGGAATAGTTGAAAGTCACTATAAATACAGTGGTGCCTCTACTTACGAACGTCTCTTCATACAAATTTTTCAAGTTACGAAACGCCTCAACAGGAAAATATTGCCTCTTGTTACGAAAGAAATTTCAAGATACGAAAGGTAAAAATACAGTATGGGCTACTCCTCACAGCTCCGAGTTTCCTGAACGCAATATACTTATAGCCGCTCTACCATTGGCTATTACCTAGCATCTTCCTGGCATCCCATTGGCTAACAGGGACCTCTACCCTATCAGTATGTGTGTATATAGATAAATATGTATCTATGCAGCGTCCTTGTCATTCGCTCCTCGGGCCATGAGGTGTTCCGATAGTTTTATGTCAATGTGAATCACCCAGAAAAGGTGTTCACCAGTCGGGCGATCGCTCACTATGCTGATGTTTGCCTTGGACATTTTCGAAGGATTGTTAAAACTCGACAAAAGCAAACGTCCTTGGATCAGTTCTTTACAAAACGGCAGGCAAAAAACACTTCTAAGATGAACTACAGAGGGCAAAAAAGGATGAGGACGCAGTTATAAGTTATCATCATTTTTATTCTTGACTGTTCTTTGTTTTTTACATTATGCACAACTCTCATTTATTGTGCAATAATCTAATTGTAACATGTATTTGTTACATATTTTGATGCATTTTTATGCTTCATAAAAATTTATGTCAGGATCTTGCGGGGCTTGAAACGGATTAGGGCATTTACATGGAAAACGTGTCTCGACTTACAAAATTTTCTAGTTGAGATTTCTTTCAGAACCAATTAATTTCGTAAGTAGAGGAACCACTGTACTGTCAACCAGCTAATTACTTTTGAGTGCAAGATTTGACAGCTGATAATAACACTCAATGGAGTGCCACAGGGATCAGTGCTTGGACCAAAATTATTCATTCTATATATAAATGACATCTGTAGTGTTACAAAACAATTCAAATGTGTCCTATTCGCTGATGATACAACCTTCTACTGCTGTGGAAAAAATATGGAACAACTCCTGAAAACTGTGGAAAATGAATTAACCAAATTAAAAAACTGGTTCGACAGAAATAAACTATCTTTAAATTTAACAAAAACTAAGTTAGTTATTTTTGGTACGAGACCTATTAAAGACCAAGTTAAAATAAAGATAAATTCAATTGAAATAGAAAGAGTTTATGAAAATAAGTTTATTGGACTCGTAATAGACACCAAACTATCCTGGAAGCCACATATTGATAATGTTAAAAGGAAAATATCCAAAACCATCGGGATACTCCATAAAACTAAGGATGTGTTGAATATGAGTTCCTTGTACACATTATATTTCTCATTATTACTCCCATATATGACCTACTGTGTGGAAATATGGGGTAACGCCTGTAAATCAAACACACTCCCTGTCTTAAAACTACAGAAAAAAGCAATCAGAATAATCAATTGGTCTAAATATATCGAACCCACAAATCCACTATTCATCAAATCAAATCCAATGAAATTCTATGACCTGGTTGACTTCAAAATTGCCCAATTAATGTATAAAGTACATAACAATCTCCTTTGTCAAAATATCCAGAAGCTTTTTGAAATCAGAGATAGTTGTTATAATCTAAGAGGTATTAATCAATACAAAAAATCCAGAACAAGAACAAACATCAAGCAAAGATGTGTATCAGTAATAGGAGTTAATCTGTGGAATAAGCTTGAGATGGATCTGAAAATGAGTAAATCTTTGGACGAGTTCAAAAACAAATTCAAAAGATTAGTACAAAAAAACTACATAAAACAAAGTTAAGAAGATAAATTTTATATACTGGTACTTATAAAATATAGTAATACTATGGTTTGTTCTTGTTCTGGATTTTGAACAACTTATTGAATGTATTCAAGAAATGTGGTATATATAATGAATATGAGTCATTTGATATAAAAAGTAGAAAGAATAATGATACATATATACAAACCAAAAGGTGTATCAATAGATAAGCATAGTACACAAAAGGGTAAAAGTATTTGATGAAATTTAGATTTCTTCCTTTTCTTTGGTATTGGAAATGATCAATATACATTATTGCTCAAAAAGGGGTAGGACTAGATAAGTTGTATACTTCTTCCTACTCCTTTGAACATATAACTGTGATGATGTTTGTATTACTTACTTTTACTTTTATTTTACTTTCATAATTTTTGTTTGCATTTTGTCATGTTATTGTATGTTTTATATATGTTCAATAAACAATAAACAAACAAACAAACAATGCCTAAAAATTCTCTCTAGAAGTTCAATGCACAGAGAATGGATGATATAAGTTACTGTTTTGCGCTCAAAATGTCAGCAGACCTTAATAATATAGGCAAAAACTGATGTACACTGTGAGTGGTTGATTAAATAGTGATGGAATGCTCATATCGGTATAAAGGTTGTGGCCAATGTATAATTTTAATGACTGCTCATAATTGTGTTCATTTTGCATGTTTTTTAACACATTCATACAAGTAGCAACCAATTAAAACAATGATTTTTAATGCTTTATAGGGGTGTGAAGATATATTTTTTGACCGACGCGGTGCATATCGGTGACACAAAGCGATCATAGTGCTTTTTTTTAAATTGTACAATCGGATATGAAAAAAGGTGATTTCCATTTCATTACGATGCTTACTTTTCTGTAAATAAACCTACACTAATTAAAGGTAACGGCAAAAAACCCCACAACAGAACGGCGATTCATTTTATTTTAAAATAAACTCAGGTTTTTGCCACTTTCTGTCAACTGAAAATGACATCACAGTTGCTCAGGGCTTAGGTAACGACCAATCACGGCTCAAATAATTTCTAAAGCTGAAGTTGTCAACAGGTATTGCTCATTAAAAAAAAGTCATTTATACTTTTCACTTTTGTATTTCAGTACTTATCAGTGGACGGCCAAGTGGTCCAGTGGTTAGTGCGTTGACCTCACAGTGCGGAGATACCGGGTTCAATTCCAGCTGCGGCCTTCTTGTATGGAGTTTGCATGTTCTCCCCAAGCGTGGGTTTTCTCCGGGTACTCCGGTTTCCTCCCACATTCCAAAAACATGCATGGCAGGCTGATTGAACACTCTAAATTGTCCCTCGGTGTGAGTGTGAGCTTGAATGGTTGTTCTGTGTGTGCCCTGCGATTGGCTGGCAACCGGTTCAGGGTGTCCTCCGCCTGCTGCCCGAAGATGGCTGGGATAGGCTCCAGAACCCCCACCCCGGCGACCCTTGTGAGGATAAAGCGGATAGGAAAACGGACGGACGGACGGAGTATTTATCGGTCTCGGCTCTTTTGCATATACTCAAGTATAGAAGTCAAATCATTACTTTGACTTTTAACTTTCATCTTTTTTTACATTTATACAGTACTTGAGTATAGAGTGCCACTGTGCAAGTATTTTTAACATCTTTGACAGTTTATATATATATATATA